AAGTCTTCGACTGCATGAGCTCTTGAGTAGACGTTTCGCTCTAGCTCGAACACGCGTGATTGAATGGAGTCGATGTTGTTTCGTGTGTGTCGTCTGAGTGTTCTGGTATTCGGTTGGATGTGGTTGCGTCTGAGTGACTTCCAATACATCTTTGGATACTCATGTCGATCTATACAATCTCTTAAGAAATCAACCTTTGTCTTCGCTACCGCAAGCTTGACGGAGTAACGCAGGAAACCATCCAGCTCCTTCACCGTCCCTGGGTCCTTGCAACGTTTGAGTATCTTGAAAATCCCCATTTAGTCATATGAAAAAGAGAAGACGTTCAGCGAAGAGACTCTTTTCGGCGAATTCATTCACATAGCTGTACAATCGCATTTATATATAATTATTTGAGTGTGTGTGTGTACATGAGGTTTGTCAAAATTAGATAATTGATCAGGTAATAAAAGAATGATCTAATATAGAAACAAAGTTAATTGGACAGCAACTAAATTAAGATTGAGTTAGTAAGTTAGATGACGTAATACAATTGACTAAAATGTTTTAACTTAGGTCAGGTTAGCAACAGAGGTAATTACAGGTAGAGACTAAGTAGAAGTGGGGTAGATAATAATGCCATTTAGATTAGAAATGAAATTGAGCAATTAAGTTGGATGACGTAACATAAATGACTATAAATTGAGCGTTGGTCAGGTCAATTAAAGTGGTAGTGAGGTGTAGAAATTAAATCGGGTAGGGGTAGAGACAAGAAAGTTGAAAATGCAAAATATTACAATTGAGAAGACAGAATAATACCAATGAAGAGACAGAAAAAAAAAATTAGGTAGAATTTACCTTTCAGGTAATAATGTAGGTTAAGTCCATTGTAAGTTTAGTGATTGAACGAACCTCTTCTGTATGCAGAGTTCAGGGCTTAGCAAGTGAATCGCCATTGCTTCTGCAGTTTGAAGAAGTCTGATTCGTACACCTTTTGGAAGACTACTTCTTACTCTGTAGACGACTTTGAAGTTTGTTTGGGGTGCAGCTTGGTGTCCGGATTCTATCAGGTGTTCTAAGATGGAGCTGCGGGGACATCGCTTTTCTCCTTTGTAAAACCATGCTGGTAAGTGTTCGGTGATACGCTTGGAAAGCGAACGCTGGGTACGGCCGACATACCTGGCTCCACACGAGCAGGTGAATTGGTAGATACACATTGATGAGGCCAACAGTGGTAGCTTATCCTTCACGTTCACATGAATCATAGGTTTTGTGGAGAAAGTTAGTCGTAGTTCAGCTGCGAAGAAAGTCTTCTTGAGTGAGCGCGACAGTCGATTTTTTAGTATTTCCGCAGATATATCTCCATTGAATTGAAGGTTTATGTAGAGCGGTTTCTTCGGGACGCTATGCGTGGGCGGCTTTTGTGGCCTAGGATTCATAGATTTTGCAATAAATCGTTCTGGGTAACAATTCTCGACGAGGATTCTCTTGAGATTGTCCAGTTCATCTTCTACGGTGTCCGGGGTACAAATTCTGCGAACTCTGTTGCTAAGTGAACGGATCAGGTTCCGTTTGGTGTATAGGGGTACCCAACTGTGGAAGTTAATCAGCTGTCCGTTCCATGTTGACTTTCTGTAGATAGATCTTTTCAGTGTTCCATCGTGTTCTCGTCTTGTTAGTTGGATGTCAAGAAAGGATATTTTAGAGTTGGACTCTTTCTCCAGCGTGAACTGAATTGCGGGGTGGCACTTGTTAAACGACTTCAGGATGTCGTCTAGATTCTCTTCATTGTTGACGATAATGAAAGTGTCGTCGACGTATCTCTTGTAGATTCCGAAGGTATCGATCATTTTCTTCATGCATGTGTTTTCGAGTTTTGCCATGAAGAAATCTGCAAGTAATGGGCCTAGTGGTGAGCCCATAGCTATACCATCCTTTTGGCGATATATTTCGTTGTTGAAAGAGAATTGAACATTCAGGGTACACCTCAGAAGGAGTTCTTTAAGACGCTCGGTGGGTATACCGATGTTTATTCCTTTGGAATCAATAAGTTCGCATACATAGCATATTGTTTCAGTCAGTGGAACATTTGTGAATAGTGATGTGACATCTAATGAGATCATGGTCCTGTTGGATACGTTGATGTTTTCAATTGAGTCGATAAAGTCGAATGAATCTCGAACTGTGTGGCAGGAAACTTGTCTTCTGATTGGTTCTAGTAGATCTGCTAGCCATTGGGCTGTGCGGTGATAAGGCGAATTGGTCATGTCAAGGATCGGTCGAAGAGGGATACCGTTCTTGTGTACTTTCGGAAGTCCATAGAGTCGTGGTATATTTGAGCCGGATGGTCTTATGGATTCAAACGTTTCGTTGCTGATGAAAGATTCAGTTTTTAGCTTACGGAGGGTGTCCGTTAGCTTTTGTTCGGTCTGTTCAGTCATGTTTTTCTCGTTGACCGGTTTTGTGAATTTACATTCATCGGATAGTATAGTCAGCATCTTACTGATATAGTCCTTACGATTCATGATAACGATTCCTCCGCCTTTATCAGGACGTAATATCATAATCTCTTCGTTTTTCATAAGTTCTTTCAGCTCCTTATAATGCCTCTTCGTCAAAATGGACCTTCCGTTGGGTTTGGTATTTATAAACTTGTGACAACTGTCGAGGATTGATGCTTTGAGTTGTTGTAGGTTTTCATCTGATGTGGGTGTGAGATCGTAGGTTTGGTTTATTAGATTTTCAAACTGAATCTGGCATTGTAGCTTGTCAATACATTGTGGTTTTACGCAGAATTTCGGACCTAGAGATAGTGCCTCTAGTTGGGTAGTAGATAGTGTGATGTCTGAAAGATTGAATACGTATTTTTCTGGATTGCTTGGGAACGGAGATTCGGTATTAATTGTAGGCTTTAGACTTTTGAGCAGATCTGCTTTAGTCTTGTTGCATTGTTTATTTACGAAATCAACACATATTTATAGATTTCCATGTACATTATTATAAATTATTGTAAGCAAACAAACACAGTCTTCTGATTGGTGGTTTCTCTCTGCAAGTTAATCTTTCATCTCTTTGTGGCCGTTTATTGAAGTTCAGATTATGTATCTGCAAATTGTATCCGCCTACTCAAAGTCTGCTGTGGTTGGTTGTTGAATCAGTCTTTGTTCTTATTTTTCTCACGACAAATATTGGGGACGTAAACATTGACGTAAATTACTGTCTTCCAATTTGGCTAGCAGCCAGCTTTCAGCACAATAGGACAGATGGCCAAACAACTATCTTTAACTTTATTTCTCATCAAAACCAACTGGAAGCGAGCTCGAAGTGATGAATTCAGCCTAACTAACAAGTTTCCAGGAGACGTTTTAGGGAAGCCAATCAACCTGTACATCTTCAATCCATGAAAATAAATAAACGCAATGGGAAACGTAATGTTCGCGTAGTGTCCACAATGAGAAGACCGCCTAGATTGTCAAGGAGATGAGAAGATACAGCATAGAGATCCTAAGAATCATTGAGGGCACACAGGATGAAAGTAGACCATCCAAAATGTTACCTGGAGAGTCAAGCAGGCGACAACCACGAACATACCAGGGGAGTGACTGACACGATGTTGCCAACAGCAGCTGAAGGCTGTTATGAATTGGGAGCCAATCTCCTCCAGAATCATGACAGCCAGATTCAACTCAAAAGGAAGAAAAGTTACAGTTGTTCACTGCTACGCTACCACAAACAACTGATATCAAGAGAAAATGGAAGGCACCTACAGACAACTGCAAACAGTAATACGGAGAAGGCCCCGAATTTTAAGAACAGCCTAGCCACTACCAGGTTATGTGGGACAGGCTAAAAGCTGCTCAGCAGATACTATGGCTAAAGTTCACGTCTAACAAGAATAAATGGGTGTCTTGCTAAGTAGGCGAGAAGATGGGTCACTTGGGACTAGAGTGTACAGAAAAACCACATTCACAGGGGGCAATACACACACTTCCTTAGTTACGTGCCTATTATATATAAAAGAAATGTTGTAAAATGTCTTGCGAGGAGAGCAAGAAAGATACGTACAGATGACCTCTTACAAAAGGAATTTGAGTATATTCACGATTCCTTGAAGGAGATGGGCTATCCGAGTAGTTTCATAAAGGAACAAATGAGAACATTGGAGAAAAAGCCTCCTGAGACGATGACTGCAAGTATAAACCTCTATTTATCAAGTTACAATTTAACAGTGACTTATCAGGTGAGATTTTATTCCAGAGACTTTCCAGGAGTATAAGAACGTTTTACGCAGCATACCTATGTTTTTCATTCTCTAACCGACGAATGATTGGGACGCAAACGAAGGATAAGCTAGATAGTTTTGCCACATCTACGTGCATTTATCAATTCAACTGCACCTGCGGTAACAGTTATGTTGGGCGTACTACTAGACAGCTTAGCCAACGTGTCACTACTGAACATCACCCATCGTGGTTTGGCAAAGGACAGACAAAAACAATCCGTAGCTCAATTATGTCACATTTAATTGATAGTGGTCATGTAGTGGCGAAAACGAAAGCTTTCAAAGTAATTCATCGTATCCCACCGAATCTTTCAAAGAGACTTCGTATTCGTCTACTGCACACAGCTGAGGCGATAGGCATTCGAACTATTAAGCCCCTAAACTATGCATTCAAAAAAGTTCGTTCTTTGTTGGCCTATTAAGACATAACCAACTGGCGACTTCTCCACCACCCCTTATTTATATCTTCAACCCCTCTCTTATCATCCCTTAATCTTATCCCATCTTTTATAAAAATGTGTTTCATTTATTTCCCTTACAATCTAGCATTACCTAATCGGTTCATTCGTTTTCCTTAGCCTTTATCGACTACAATGTCTACCTGAACATTTGTTTGTTTAATCATTCTGTTTTTCGTTATCCGTGTTATCACAGATTACCTCACATTTTCATCCTTATTATTGATAGCACCAGTATTTTTATTATTAACATTACTATTATTATGACCAGTTGCACAATTTATATTCACCATCTCATTCTCCTATAGACAAAACACTCTGATTGGTTTATATTTGAATTTTTATTTTTAAAGTTATGTAGGTATATCAGAGTTAAACCTGATGAGATCTAATTAAAATCACAATATTGTTCGCTTAAATGTGTTGTTCTAAATTTTACTATGGAAATATCTCATTTAATTTTAGATTTTCTTGGCAATTGATCGGACTGAAGTGCTCGGTCTAATAGTGGATAACGCTTTGGGGTTTGAAACTATGGGCACTAGCTTCGAGCTTCACTGAAAACACCATCCTTGACTCAGTGTAGAATGCAGGTACATCCAGTGACTGGCGAGTCCCAAAGAGGACGAAATGCACATCCTGGATTCCACTGCTAGTCACCATTATCCTCCAATTCCCTTCTAACTATATGCCCAAACATTGTCGAAGCATCTGCACAAGGAGAAGCCGACATATCAACCTGAGACCAAACACTTCACGGTTCAATCAATCAATCGACGGGAAAATCGAAAATTGAATTAAATTAAATTGTAAAAGTTAATTCCAGTTGGAACTGATCCATCAGGAACCAGCTTGAAAACTAACAGAAATTCTTAGAAGTTAATCTCAAGCGGTAACAGAATCCATTAGAACGTAAAGATATATGTATATATATTCAAAGAAGTTAAATATTACACTATAAGAAATAAAGCAAGTGGCAGTTGGAAAAAGTTACAAATATGTACACACAAACACGCACACACGCACGGATATACGATTGTTAACGAGCGAACGCAATAAATAGTAATAATTCTGATTATATCATATCATACTAGTCTACAAGTTGTCCTTTAATTTTAAGCTTTTTTAATACACGTCCTTGTTCTAATGCTGCTGCTCGTCTACGACGCTGTGCACTCCCACCAATACCAACAATATCTCCAGCTGAAGATGAGTTATCTGAATCGAAGTTACCACCACCAATTGCTGTTGTTGATGATGAGGATAACGCTGGAGAAGATCTATTCGTAGACATGATTGAATCGGATGATATATGTCCAAAATCTGTAGAACCTTGTAGAGAATTATTGGTTAATCGAAGTTTTAGATCTGGTGTTGTAGTATTTATATTTGTAGTAATATTACTATTATTATTGTTATTATTATTATTAATAATAGCATTATATAAGCCTAAACTACCAGCAGCTGCAGCCAACGTGCCAGCTACACCAAGTGAATGACGTGGAAGAATTGGACGTTTGGAATCAGCGACACGTAATGCTGCTAGAATTAAAGGATCAATTAAATTGTAATAGGAATCTTCTGCTGACGATGATGATTCTGACATACCAGGATTTGGTAGACTTGCAAGTTCAAGAGGTAATGGCTAGAACACAAAATGTAGAAGAAGAAAACAGCTTCCCATTTAGACAGTTGAAAAAAGGCGAATGGACTAAGCGGCGAAGAAATATTTACTTTTCAATTAGATATCCTCAACTCACTATGGTTCTACTTTAATATTATACATATAGCAGTTTTAATACAACACACAACAGTTTTTTTGATTGGACACCAGTCAGTAACTAGCGTAATGTGTTTAGTCCTATCCTCGGTGCAGACTGAATTCTATCAGTCAGGCTTGCAATGTAGCCACCATGATAGGAGGTTGCACATACGTTCGAACCTCTCAGCAGGGATATGCATTCCTTCATATTTGTAGATATGTCTCGCTGACTAGTGAGTGTCGACTAGCACAAAACCTAGGTCAGGTAGGGCTTCCTGCCGATCGTCTCTAAATGCTTACAATCAAGAATTCACAGTGTACCGTGTTAGCATTGGAAGCGCATTTACTATTTCGCTGACGTAATCACTGAGGAACTCCAGTTTTATGAAAAATGACTGTTGTGGAGCGGTCGCTCTACTGGCTTGTTTTGGAGCGAAATTTATAGTTTTCCTATAATTGTTGTTTACAAACATATCGCCACTTGATTGATTGATTGGTAAAATGTTGTGTATTGTATTAAAAGGTGTTTTATGTGGATATTAGAGTATAGAGCAAGAGATGAGCATCTAACTGAAGAATAAAACTGAACGGGATAAAAAACATTAACTTAAAAGAATATTGACACAATATCTGAGATCATACAGCCACCAAAAGATACGGAAAGACAGAAGAAAAATATAAGGAAACTGTTATCTCAATACGATTTTAGGTAAAATTCATTTTGATAAACTCTCACAGTGTTATACAGTATTATTTACTGATGACAACGTTTTGACCAGCATTTAATACTGCTCATTATAATCATACCAAGGCCCCGACTGAAAGCTGCTACCTTGACGTAGTGGTCGAGCTTGAACACCGCAATGAACTAATCAAGCTATACTGGCTGAGACTTATGTCTCTTGAGGTTCTACCATGCCAGGCAAGTTGTTTGGATAGCGGTTAAACAAAAAGCAGCTACCCCATCCAATACCATGATTCAGACAGATTCACAAAATATCATGCCATGGCCCGGATTAACAACGACCGCGCTTCCTGCTGCCGTGTCACAGGGCAGGAGTGATAAGTATGCTACTGAGACACACCAAACAAAAAAGAACAGACAAAAACAGGTCGCGTGTGACCGGCCTCAAGCAGTTGTCCCTTGGGCTCTGCCGTCACGCAACCAACTTCCACGGTGTGGGCAGCCGGGAAGTAACAAACGCCCTCACAATCCGAAATGCACACAAAACCTCTCATATCAAGGCAATACTCACTTAGTTCATATAAATCCACTTGAAATCATTTTTTGTCTGTAAGTATGGTATGTACTTTGTGCCGTCTAAGTGCATAGTACTGTTACAAGATTGGCAGGAGCCTGTGCCTGCACTCTTGTGGGTGAATCGCTTGAAGTTGTTGATAAGTTTGTGTATCTGGATAGTTGTGTGAGTGCTGGCGGAGGGGTGACAGATGAGATTTCCAACCGTATAATGAAGGCTAGGGTGGAATACATCAACTTGAGCCACCTATGGCGCCGTCGCAACGTTAGCCTGGCTGTTAAAGGTCAGGTATACAATGCTTCAGTGCACGTTGTCTTGCTCTACGCCTGTGAAACCTGGCCTCTCCGAGCCGAGGATGTGCGGCGACTATGCGTGCTCGATCATCGCTGTCTCCGCAGGATTGCTTGCATTCGATGGCATCATCGCATGTGTAATTCTGAGGTTCGGTGGCGTGTGTTTGAACACAATGGAGAACACCATTCATTGAGTGTCGTCATCTGGAAACACCGTCTCCGGTGGCTTGGACATGTGCTGAGAATGTCATCCCAGAGGAGGCTTCCGTACAGGTCTCTGTTCGCTAGCCTTGGGACGGGATGGAAAAGGCGGAAAGGTGGTCAGTCTATGACTTGGCGTTGTGGGATGAGGGATTTTTGTGCTAGATTAGCATCGGTTGGTGCGTCACGACTCCCTGGTTGAGGGTCGCGAGATAGTTCGAATCGATAGCTCAGTGCGTTATCGGATATGGCCAAGAATCGTAATCAATGGCGATCGTGTTGCTATTTCCTTCTTTCTTCCCTTCCTGATGATAGTTAACGAAAAATGTTTGAACTTGTTAAGCATGACTGTTTTCCTTCCAGATGAAGTTATTTATCCATTCTTTACCTATATTTTTACTTTTATTGTTGTTTTATTATTATTATTGTGTAGCGCATCTTTCTTGGTGCCATATTGTACTAAGTTTTTTCTGCGTTTAAAATAAATCCACGACTTTTCGTCGCTTGATTTGATTGGTAGTAGTATTTTCTATATTTCCGGTATAAATAATGAATCATTCCTATTCCATTTTTGAGTTGGGTGTAGATTATTCGATGAACAAAGATTCAGTAGTCAACCTCTCTCGTTCTTTCCACCTACCTATACTACTTTCCAGAATTTTGACTCTGTCCCACCCCAATTTCCTGTGTGGTTATGTGTTAATGCATGCAGTGCGATCGAATAGAAGAAGGTAAACTGCCCACTAGCGGTGTTTATAAAAAGCCAACGCATTCTCCTAATAGACATTTAGACTTTAATTCATCTCATCCGTTATCTGTCTGTGAAGGCAGGCTATTATATTGAGTGTCTAACAAACCGAGTAGTAGCACTTAGTAGGACGAGAAAAGACCTAAACGAGGAGATAAAACAGATAGAAGAAGAAGCGCTGGTATCAAATAACTAACTATCCTATAAAATTCATTGATTAGATCAGAAAGGGTCAAAAGCAAAATAGAAAAATAGTGGTGAAACTAGTAATAATAACATAAATAAGAGAGAATAGAAGGCATCTACAGTAGTTTTACTATATAAGGAGGGGACATCTGAGAACCTACGTAGGATTCTTAATAAGGCAGGAATTAGGGTAGTGGTATTCACACCTACAAACTCACTCAGACAGGACATTTTCTGTAGGTTAAAGGACCCTGTTGACCCAATTAGACAAAATAATATAATTCATAAAATATCTTGCAATGACTGTGAGTTAGGTCAACTACATAGGTCAAACTAGTAGTAGATCGGGGGTAGTCAGATTATCAGAACATAGGAATTTAGCTAAGGCAAGTATGATTGATCCTAAGAAGATAAGTAATTTAGAGAAAAAAAACTCAGCAATGGCACTACATGCATTAACACTGCCACACAATAGGGTGGGAGAGGGTTAAAATTCTAAAAAGTAATATAGGTAGGTGGAAAGAACGAGAGAGGTTGGCTACTGAATCTTTGTTCATCGAATAATCTACACCCAACTCAAAGATGGAATAGGAATGATTCATCATTCATACCGGAGATATAGAAAATAATATTATCAATCAAATCAAGAGATGAATGCGGAGAAGATAAGAGCTCTTTCACAAAATCGTGGAGCTAGCAGAAAGCTGCAGACAACATGCAAATGAGCTGTTCATAGCTTGGATTCTGCGAAAACTCAGCGAGGCGTTTGGAGTAAACACAGGAGTCAGACAAGGGTGTTTGCTTATTATCACCAATGATATTCCTAATTGTGGTGGACTGGATTACAAGCGAAAACCGACAAACTGGTCGAAGAAACAGCCGGCAAAGACAGGACTCCAGGTGAACATAGACAAGACGGAAGTTATGAAAATAACCAACCAACAACAATAGCAGCAACATCCAGTAAAAATCACTATCAATGGGAGGGATTTGAAAGAGGTTACTTCGTTCACTTATCCAGGGAGCATTGTCTCAATTACAGGCAGTCGGAACGGACGAGGATGTGCTTTGTACTCGTCGAGTAGTTAATAGTCCTGACGCGGAAAGAGGGAAATCAGAAGACCACCAGGTTTACGATTATACTTGTATTATCCAGACAAGGAAAATAAATGTCACACTAGTGTGTGAGTGAAATGGTACGAAATGTGTGTGAACCAGAATGTACAAGGGTCTAATACAAAAGTATATATGAAAATGGCTAATACACATGAACCAATAAGATAACATCCTACCATGATTGGTTGTAATGTCATATGATAACAAGGTCATACATGTTTATTTAGTTAGTGGATAGATAAAAGCATAATGTCAGTTATAATGGAATATCGATCCATATACACATAGCAAAATATAACAGACTGTCAAAAACAAAACACACATCATGTGGATACATATCAGGATGTCAAATCGAGAATCGGGGAGGTAAGAAACACATTCAGTCATCAACCTGAAACCAATCTGGAAATCTTCATCACTCAACCAGCATCAACAACGAAATTCGGTAGGATTTTCAATACAAACGTCAAGTCAGTCAGCTCTTCTATACGGTCAGAAACTTGGCGGGTGGGTCACAAAGAATATTTCCAACAACTTGTTGCAGACATTTATCAACCAACAACTATCTTCGCTGGCTCTACACTGAATATCAGATGGCCTGGCCAGAAAGAATCACCAACAAGAAACTATGGGAACAAAGAAAACAAAACAAGAACCAATCGCCAACCAACAAATATGCAGGAGAAAGTGGAGATGGATTGGAAACTCGCTCGCTGAAGAGGCCGCTGGGTGACATCGCGCGCGCGTCAGGCCATTGCTCGAGTGGAACCAGGCCGAAAGGGAAGCGGCGAGTGGGACGTCAGTGCAAGGGTGACATGGGGAGGTGAAACAGCATGGACTAACATGAATGCAGGTGAAAAGTACAGCAGAAGACAGAAGCAAGTGGAGGCGTGCAGTTGAAGAATAATAATAATAATGGCTTGTATTCTACTCGAAACCAAAGGGAATAATAATAATAATAATAATTTGATGATAATAATACGATCACCTTGATCTGATGTAATCACATCTCAATATATAATACAAAAAAGATTTTTTTTATAAAAATTTACCTGGTTAGGAGCAAATGCTTCTAATCTTAAACGTGCAGAATGGAGTTCAAAATCACAGTTTAATAATGCTAGACGTAAATCGAATAACAGCAGAATCTTGTTACGTAAACTGTTGTAGGCTTCAACAATCTCTGCAGTCGCCGGTGGATTAGGATCTACAAAGAAAATGAAACATGTGAAAATGAGTACCGTAAATATCTGTACAAAAAACACTGAATGATTTCAACAGAGAATTTCGCACAGATGTGCACCAATTCCAGTTGCCATTCCCCAGCCCTCGACCACACAAAACAAAAGAATAGAGTAAAGAGACATCCAAAAAACAAAAAGACAGACAGAGTCAGGAAGCTATGTTCACCAAACAAGGTCCAAGAAGAATTAGATTTCGTCGTTGAGAAATGCCTAAGAGAAAATGGATACCCTAAGGGATTTATACAGAAGTATAGCAGAGAAAAAGATAAGGAAGAAAAGCATCCAACTGTATGTAGAAAAGAAGAAAATGTTTATTTGTCCTCCATTCAAAGGAGATGCAGTGTCACAAAAGATTGACAAAAGACTGAAAAGTGCAATAAAAAAAGAAGCTTCCCGGCAGCAAAACTCATAACATTACACAGCACCCCTTCTTCCATAAGCCACTCAAAACTAGATAAATACCCTACACTGATGCCACCTCCAACTGCGTTTATGAGTTTACGTGCATTTGTGGGAGCAAGTACATTGGAAGGACGGAAAGAAGGGCTTCTATCCGGTGGCTTTCTGAACATATTCCAAGAAACTTGTGCCTGAAAGGAAGCAAATATTCTCAGAGTGCCATTACCAGACATAATGTTGATACAAGACATCTCGTGGAGGTTTGCAAGTCCTTCAAAATATTAAATAGACAAAGGACAGCAAATTTACTACGATTTTCTCGAAGCCATCGCAATCAAACGATTTAAACCAACCAGACTTATGCATACAGAAAGAGAGTGTGATTAACCTCTCACTTACTATCTTGGTAACTGAATTTTGATTTCGATTACAATAATTAGTCATCTAATTCAGTGATCTCAACTCACCGAACAAATCTCATAAATTGTAACCACTTTTGTTTTTTGTAGTTGCTATGTGGACAAGCTACAAGCTAACACTGTTCTGTTAATCAATATTTTCTGTTTTCCGTCTTACCCTTCCCCCCCCCCTCTTTTCAACTTTAAAAGCGTATAAACTAATGATGAAAACTTAAACTAAAAATTGTAATGCTTTCATTTTGGATGCGTCAATTTTATAGTATCTCTTCTCTACTACCACTTAGATATTAAAGTATGTTATTATCATCTATATAACCATTGTAATTTCAGGTAGTTTGCAGTCAGCTGATGAAAACCCGTGAAATAGAATGATATCATTTTATACTACACTGGCAGTTAGGCAGTCTACACCTCTCTCCCTAGTTGGCTAGCTGCCTGGCTTAAACTAACTGTTATGCGCATTTCATTGGCTGATGAAGCCATGTTTTCGTTTAACTACCACTAGGCAACTTTCTCCCAACCTGATCCATCCCTATGTCAAAAGCTAACGTTGACCATTGAGGAAGGCGATCGATGACTAGGCTAGGCTAGGCTAGGCTACAAATGAGCAGCAATGCATGTTTTAACAATCTCTCTCAACCCATGTAACTGCTTAACATACTCATTGATTGATTTCCCCTCCTACTTACCTATCACTCGAACGAAACTGAATCCTATTATGCCACCATCTACCTCCTAACATACACGAGAGAGAGAAGGCAGACAGACACCTATAGTGAAAAACAGCCAGCTAGCAAGCCAGGCTTTTCATGTCTTCCACTCACAACCAGCCAGCCAGTTATATAGGAAGACGCAACGAAGTAACTGTTGCTGCTGTCGAGCACTACACACATCCTTCGGTCGACAGGCAGTTAATCCAGCCAGCTGGATATCACACGTCTACCAAGCTAGAAATGGTGTGTGTTGGCAGGCAAATACCAAACGAGTCATGTGAATCCTTGCTGGGATTCAGTCAGTGATAAACCCACGATAAACCAATCCAGGAGACGGTAACATGTGAATACCATTCGTGTTGGATAACTGTCAAACTTCACGACTCATTAGTAGAACAGTCTTTGTGAGATCTAGATCGTATGTCAGATCTAAGTGGTTAAAGCACATTAGGGTCCAGTGGTTGTTTGAATTTAATAAGTACCTCAGTGATGCCAAAATAACAAATAAAAGGAATAGGAACAATCCTCAAGATAACACGGCAACAGTAAAGAAAGTACATCTCGGCCAAATGACCTTGAATCAGCCAATCCATATGCTTCTAGGAAGAAAGTGGCATTTATAGCATTAAAAAAGGATGTTACTGGTTATATGCATAACAAAAAATGAATCATGAGTACCACTTACAGCATCCATTAGCCCTGAATGAATATAACTTAATGATATAAGTCACACTGTTCAGTACTTCATACGGATTCTGTCCATAATCATCGTTGTAAGTTCCGTCGTAACACTAACCTTTGCTGCAAGTTAAACCCTAACCTAAATTCATAAGTTTACCTTAAACTAATCTTCACCCTGAATCAGGGTGAAACTTGCCTAGAAAATTACGAAAAGTAATCATCTGTAATTTTGAGCGACGTGATTGGCTGATTCAAGGTCATTCGACTGTAATATCTTTACCTTTCCTCTTGTCAATAACACTATAGGGAAGAAAGATCATATATATACAGAAACACTCACCGATTTGTAAATGACCCAAAAAGTTTTCAATAATTCTTGTTTTCTTTTGTCCTAAATTGCTAGGTAACTTCATCTATAAGAAGTAAAATAATTGACGAAAAATACGATAAAAATGTTAGTTAGGAAAAGTTTAAGTGCACAGACTTAGATTATTCATAATAAAACAACTTATTATCCTTTATTAATAAGCAGCTGTGGTTAATTCCCCCCCCCACCCCCGTTTTTATGCTATTCAATGCACATAAGACTATCATTTTCAATGTTGGTGAACATTCAGTGGTTTTCAAGTATTGATTTGTACGGTGACCAGTAGGGTGCAGCAGGTCGGGTGTGAGGACAAATACTCGCCGAAGACATTGGCTAACGGTTGTGCTATATCGTGAATTGACAGAAGTTAGAATTCATGGACTGGTCATCGTATCGGGTCCCAGTGGCTTAATGGTCTACGAGCTCGTTATCCTTGTAACCAGAAGGTCCTGGGTTTGAATCCCACAGTGTGGGTGCGTACTGATGAAGAGTCACAAACTAGACTGACGAAACAGATGTCCAGTACTCTTTGCAGGTTTTCCAATGGTTCTTTAACCGATGTCAGCTCATGATGAACTCCTGTAACCAATTTAGTGGTTTGTTTATTTAAACTAGTCTCAATTTGGTGGGAGACAAAATGGCGATCGCTACTTAATCTTGTGCTGGCTGGCAAAGGACTGGAGAAATACGATCAAAGAAGTATTACTATACATTTTACTAACGTTTATTCACCGATTTTGCACATAGTAACTTGTAATTCTTTATCGTAATCGGGAGAGGAATAAAAATTTGTACTATCATTCCACTTTCGTAGCACTGTATATAGGTATTCCGCGTGTTAGGCGTACTCTTCTGAAACCAGAGACAGGTTCAGAATCTTTGCGATCTGGACATTGACAACCACTATTAGTATTGTTGACATTAACATCATTACTACCATCAACACTCAACTAATATTTCTTGACATTTTACTCGGTTATCTTGGTTTTTTCAAAGTGCACTGTAATGGCCGGCCACCCGGAATGGTGGTCACATTGCAGACTTGACTGACAGAAACAAGGGATCAGACACACTACACTAGTTACTAACTAATGCCAAACTAAAGTATCCAATACAGTCAGTCCTACAGGAGCCCAGTCACCAGTCCGAATAGCTCAGTGGTAACGTCTCTGACTGACTGACTACAGCACTGGTTGGGTGACGTGGGTTCGAATCTTAGAAGGGAAATGAGTTCCTTCAAAGTTGTTTCAGATACGCCTTACTGACTGACTGGTGACCGCCAACAAGCACGAAATCTAAGTAGAATGCTTCCTACCTCTTTTCTCCAACCATCTAATAACACCACAGTTCTATTTGATACTACTTTACTTACTTTACTTCGGCTATCTCCTACGGGAGGATGAGCCGGCTTCATGAACATCTCGAATCATCGCTGCCCAGGCGCGGCGATCTGATGCAAGGTTTTGCGACAGGGTTATCCAATTCTTGTTCCACCACTGAAGGCGACGTTGTTGGACCAGTGCTGGAATTTGGTTGATGTTGTAGAGAGTTCATGAAGTTTCATGGGAATTAGGTACGAGTGATGTCCCCAGCATCGCTCGGCCTTTTGTTTGAGAGTGCAGCTCTAGCCTTTACACAACCAAGTGTGACTTACAAGGCAGTAGGAGTGGAGTAGGGAGTCCACTATCCATTGGCAGCCGGTGACCGGGGTCCGATCCATACGCCTTTTTGAATGGGGCCAAACATACAGGGCATCTAATAAGCCCTTTGTCTATACGTCTGCCGGTGAGCTCCGATGAGCTTCATACGCCAGTCGTTGGAGGTTTGGAATCAGGGTTTAGCCATCTCCCCTAGACTGTCATCCAATGGACAGTCAACCCGGTGGAGAGCGCCGGGCATCCGCTTTCGCCCTCTCACTTTGGTGAGAAACACCTCCGCCACGTCAAGGCAGTGAGTAGGACTTCCTCAGGAGAGGCTATGTAGGACGCCCGGTCATATGGGAGCATTTCAAGAGGTGTACGGAGGGGTGGCCGACCCGCAGCGCAAGACACCCATCCCCGACCATCCTAAGGCTTTGGAGTCTCTATTTGATCCACCATTGGAATTTCTTATCCCGTGTTGCCATGCCTCACGTGATATCTTAGTATTATGCCTTATATGCGTACCTGTCTATCTTCCCTGTTGCATGGATTTCGTGACCTGAGAAGTCCTATTGAAATTTCAAAATGTTCTCAATTGTTAAAGAATTACCCTCCAGAAAATACTGACAATCATGCACTGGATGACCTGATGACGCTGAAATTCAGGCGGCGAAGTTAAAGTATTATAGCCAAAGTCAAGACCTTTAAAAAATTGACCTTCAAGAACCAATCAGATATACAGAATACTATGAAAGGTCAATTCAAATCGTCATTCCATTTGTTTATATTAGATTTAAGAATAAAAAATATTCTCCTAATCAATGTTGTTTTTATCCCATGCATGTGCAACTATAGATTTTTTTCTGTCTGTCTGTCTGTTTTTGACATAGAACTTTGCACATATGTGCGGCAGTTTAAGTCGACACACTCCCTCCTTGTAGCATACAAAGCAAGACAAGAAAGTAGAAGAAATACATAATAGAGACAGTAAACAGAAGGGTAAGACAAGGGAACAGTAATAATGACGAACAATATATTCATTGGAAATCATAAGTCACAAGGAGTGGATGCATCTGCGCTGTCATTGACAACGAGGATTTTGAGCCATATCACCAATTGTTTCCAGCCATTGGTTTTCACCGTCCTGAGGACCCCAACCAGCCAGTCAGGAAGTCCACACCTTCCTACGTGACTGGCCAGCTCAAACTAACTGTTGTGGATTTATTTCATTGACTGATGAGGCCATGTTTTCGTTTGACTACAGCTGCTGAGATTTCGTCAGAGATCAACCCGTTGGCACTGGCTGATGGTACCTCCCAAATGAGTGAAGCTGTCAATGTGCTCTACCACTTCACTTCCTATTTTAAAACTAGGCGTCGATGTAGTCCAGTCCTGTAACATCATCTTGCATTTGGCGGGAGCGAATCGCATGCCAAACATTCGTAGACTTCAGCTCAAGATGTTCAGAAGACTCTGCATTTTGGCAGCGTCGTCGCCTAGAAGAACTATATCGTCTGCATATTCTAAATCAACGAGATTATTCCTTGTTACTAAGTCAATCCCTGGGCCTCTGAAATGAGTTAGGGTTAAGTCCATTAGTACATCTATGATGAAATTAAATAGAAATGGGGATAATGGGAATCCCTGACGGACACCACTAGTCGTCACCACTTCAGACGACAACTCACCATAAGCTCTCACCTGGTTGGTTGCGTCAGTTCCAGTAGAGTGCCTTGATCAATGCAATGTATTTTCTCGTCATTCCCTTTACAGTCAAGCATCGCCATAGTACCTCTCGGTCGACAGAATCGAATCCCACCTTTAGGTCAAGAAATACGACGATTGTTGGACGCCGGTAGGAATGCCTATGTTCTAGAATCTGTTGGAGGGTGAAGATATGATCAATACACTCTCTTCCTGGCCTAAAGTCTATCTGGCTCTCTTGTGTTTGTGCCGCCAGAGTACTACTTAGTCTACGTATGATTATTGTGCCTAGAACTTTAGATACTACATTAGTCAAGCCAATCCCTCTGTGATTATCACAGGAAGACTTGTCTCCCTTCTTGTATGTGGGGATAATCAGTGACTTACACCAACCCGATGGGACCTCCTCTGATTTCTGGACGCTGCTGTATGCTTGCATTCCTGTGAGATGACCTTCAGTTAGATGTTTATGCTGGTTTGCTCTCATTTTGAGTGATTTCGACGTTTGATCCGCATATTTAGTCGGACACTCAGCAAAAGATATCGTGTAAATTAAATTACTACTTGTATCCATCATTTTAATTAGATCTTTTAGTTGATTTATTTTATTTCTAATTTGATTCGTCAATTTAAACGTGATACAAATCCCAATATATTTTAAGGTTTCTTCGAATTGATTAAAGATGCCCATTAGAAATTTCAAAAGATTGATTATTGAACAAAAAGAATAATCTTTTCGATAACTTCATCATCAGGTTCTACAGATATATATCCACCATTATAATGAAAGAATGATTGCTGTTGAAAACATTAGTGCTTTCTTCGAATTGCCTCTGATATACCATTTTTGTATGGTACTGTGATCGTCTTTTTTTGCCACCCTCCTTCTTGTCATTCTCTGGTTTTACCCTCTTTCTTTTCTTCTTCTTTATATTATCACTGATAAATTCTTTTGGGGGTAACAGTTTGAATGAGACATTTATTTGTTTTCGCTGGTCATTTGGTGTTGTTGTAAGTCCACGTACTCTATCTATGAGACCTTGTGACTAAACCTCGTTTTACAATGAGTGGATGAGCTGAGTGATAATCAAGGAATCTCCCAGAATGTGTAGTTTTTCTGCATATATATCGTCTTTCTTATGCAGCTATCTGTTACTCTCTGTATTTTGCAGTCCAACTAGCATAGGCAGTTCCCCAATTTCATTCTCTATTTCCATATTGTGAATTTTATTGAGTCGACATGACTGTTTATGTGTGTGTGTGTGAGAGAGAGAGAGAGAAGAATTTCTCAATATCATTCTTTTTCAATATTAATCAGACGTGTCATCTACATATCTCCACTAACATTTTATTGATAACATGAATAGTTTCAGTGCATTCTTTTCCCAAAAATCCATGAATATATATCAGCTATCGAGTGGAACCCGAATGAGAAGTGGCGAGTTGGTCGTCAGTGTAAGGGTGACATGGTGGAGGAGGTCATGCGAAAAGGAGATGAAAGCATGTGAGCAGATGTGGAGCCAGGTGAAAACATTGGCGGTGAATCGAACACAAAGACGTGCGGCTGAAGCCGTATGTTCCAGTGGGTGCGTACTGCTGATGATTCCCAAACTAGGATGAAACAGCTGTCCAGTACTCCAGTTCTGGTTTTCAATGGTTCTCTAACTGATATCAATCCGTGATCAACTCATAAAAAACAAAGTTAACCCCTACAAACCAAACTATAGAAAATTAATCTGATGCTCGCTAGTGACTTGCTACAGGATGGAGTTTCCTGGAGTCAGTTGTAGTGAGAAGTCATGATCAGTGAGGTTCATCCAGATGTCACGTGTGAGGATGGATGTCCCACCGACGACACTGGTTGAGGTCGCGTTAAATCACGAATTGGTAGAAGTTAGAATTCATGCACTAGCCATTGAATCGGGTCCCAGTGGCTGAATGGTATACGAGCCAGCTCGCCTTGTAACCGGAGAGGACCTTGGTTCAAATCCCAGTGGGTGCGTACAGCCGATGATTCCTAAACTAGGATGAAACAGTAGCTGTCCAGTACTCCAGTTCTGGTTTTCAATGGTTCTCTAACTGATATCAATCCGTGATCAACTCGTAAAAAAACAAAGTTAACCCTTACAAACCAAACTACAGAAAATAATTATTATTGGTGAGATGGGTGATGCCATGGCTACTCTTCCTTCATTTTGTTGGCATATTTTTCCTTCAAATGTAAAATCTGTTGTAGTTGTTGTTACACAGAATTCATCCCTTTTATTATCTCTTCTATAGATAATTGTGTTCTGTCATTTAAGGCCATCATCTACGCTTAGTCTTGTTTTCAATGCAACCATGGCCATCCAATTGAATGGGCATTTTACTTAGTATAGAGACTGTTTACATCAAAAGCCGACTAGTATTTCCTCTTCCCCTATTTTAGTGGTTCTTAGTCTCACTAACTCAAATAAATCTGCTATTCTAACTCTTGAGTCGTCTCTTGATGGTATTAATGTGGTTAGAGCTGGCCACAAGCCAAATCGGAGTCATGAGAAAAAAAACTCAATAACAAAGCTTAACCTTGAGGAATTCACCAACCAATTACAGCACAAATAGGATTCGTGGATATATGGCTTAACTTTCTGAGAAGCAGTCAGTCACAAGCAGCACAGAATAACCTTCAGCTTCTCCGCTGACAATAATGTAGATAAAAAAAATCTGTAAATATCTCTTGATTTTCTCAATAAAGAATCTGTTGCCTGGCCCTTGTCTTCTTCTGTCGTTACATTAGTATTGTTAAGAGAAATCTTGACAGCATATATATATCGGTGTGTTTCTAATATCTTCAACTGGTCTAATCGGATACCCTTCTCTGTATACAGTTTTATCGTGCCATATATCTCTTTAAAAATTATATGTGAAGGGTATCTGTATAGATATTTGAAAAACAACTCAATTACTATAGAAGACGACTAAACTTTTAAAAATAAAAAACACAGACTCACTTTTTGACTACGCAAATGAACTCCAGGATTTTTACCCAATTCTAAAAAGTTGATTGTATACTGAGTATTCTACAAGAAAGATAGAAAGAAAGAAAAACAGAAAAAAGAGTTGAAGAAAAATCAATAAACCCGGAAAGTTCTTGGGCTTGAACCCAAGCAGTGAGGTGGGTGCGTGCCTGCTGGCGATGAGTTGCTAACTAGGCTGATGAAACAGCTGTCCAGTACTGCAGTGATGGTTTTTGATGGTTTTCTAACTAGAATCCATTTACGTTTCATATTTAATTGGTGGATAGTGACTAGCATTGGAATCCAGAATGCGCATTTCGTCCTATATGGGACTTGTCATCTGGATGTACCTGCATTTCTCAGTGATTGATGATATTCCCACCGAGGCTCAAATTAAATTAATATGACCCGTTGCACAAGAAGTGGCTCTCGTGTTCCAAGTGGTCTAGTGAACAACGTTTTGGCGTTTGAAACTATGGGCACTGAGAAATGCAGGTACATCCAGCCAACTGACGAATCCCAAATAGGACGAAATGCGCATTCTGGATTCCACTGCTAGTCACGATCCACCAATTAAATGCTAATTAAATGGCCAGACATCGTAGAAGCATCTGCACACGAAGCCGACATATCAACATGAGATCGAGCACTTCGGTACAACCAATAGACGGGAAAATCTCAAATTCAATTAAGTCTATGTTTAAACTTGAAAAAACCAATAACACAAAAAATGGCATGCAATGATCCTATATGCCTTATTAACACTGATGTTTACCAGATAGGTAGACATGTGATTCTCATTGGCTTAAACAGTCTACCTTCAACCAATGCATGATTAATAGTTTGAATTCTCGTCTACCTCTACTTTACATTACACATTAGTCCTCATAGCATGTATGACAAAGAGCCAGGATCCTAAGAAAACAAGACAGGCATTCATTACTATAATGAGATCGGTATGCAGAACTACAACACAGAAGATTGAAGTTCTCAAAGCTAATGTCAAGTCAGTGTTTTTCCACACAGTTCACAAATTTCCCATACTCGTCAACAAAAGTAGTCTCAACACCCTGCTGCTGCAGACTCCCTCACCAGCACCTGCACCTTTGTTCAATAATGAGGAGCATACGGCCGACTACAGAAAGGACGAACAATAGACAGAAGAGAACTAGCCATCAATAAATACCTGACATGAAACGGGGATGCATTGGACATACGCTGAGAAGACTTTCACGAATGATTTCACCACCTTTTCGACTTTGAGTAGAACCCAAATAGGAAGGGAAGATTTGTGCGTACAAGGACTACACATGGAGACCATGTGAAGACGAAATGAAAACTTATGGGGGGCAGCAGTGGTGCAGTTAGCTAAGAAGTGATGTCAGAGGACCGAGTGAAACGGGAATATGATGCTGAAGCCCTGCCCTATGTTCCATTCAAGAACGCAAAGAACGAATAATAATAATAATGGCCTGATACGTGAATAATATTTCAAAACTAACTGAGTTCTAAGTAATCGATGGTTCTAACTATAGAATCTGCATGTCATCAAATAGAAATTCGAGTAGCACAACACTGGTGCATGCGGTTAATGACCAGGTACAGTTTTGTACAGTAAACATTTATAACACGAAGTCGTGACCAACCAGGTACAGCAGGTCGATTGTGAAGACAAATACTCGACAGCGACGACACATTGGCTAGTGCCAGGTCGCGCCATATCGTGAATTGGAAGACGTGGGAATTCGTGGGCTGGCTATTGAGGAGTCGGATTCCAGTGGCTTAATGTTCTACGGGGTGACTTGCCTTATAAACGGGAAGGTCCTTGGCTAAAGACCTGGGTGTGGGGTAGGTGTGTACTGCCTACCAGTCCCAAACTAGGCTGACTAAACAGCTGTCTGACAGAACTGCAGTGCTGGTTTTCCAGTGGTTCTCTAACCAAAAGCATCTCATGATGAAATCCTGTAGCCAATCAAATCCCAGAAAACTAACACTTGAATACTCCGAGATAAGCTGGTTGACCTTAGATTTATAGGTCATTTAAGGAATATACGACTAAGTCTCGTAAATCGTACAAATTGTAGAATTAAAACGTTAGAAGGATTTATGTGGTTAACTTTTTCTCTTTCATAAGAACAGCTTATCGATTTCTGTAAAACTGGCCCAACTTAACATCGATCATATCCACATCAATCTAATGCTTACTAGTGGCTGACCACCACAAGATGATGAATTTGCTTGGAGTGGTAGTGGGGAATTGTGACTACTGGGTTCACCACCAGGTCGGCCGCGAGGATAAACACTCACTGATGACATTGATTAGTGGTAGCGCTACATATACCGCAGATTGACAGAGGTAAGAAATTCATGATTCATTGAATTTCGTCTCACTGGTGGTTGAATGAATGATCAACGCGTCCGCCTTATAACCCGAAGGTCCTGGGGTTCGATCCCGCCTGGATACCGCCGACGTAACAACTGTCCAGGATTCTCTTGTTTCCAACCAATCGCTTTCTGAACAGACATCAGTTCGCATACGATTGAAATACAAACCACACAAACTTCTTCAAGCTGATGCTTGAGAAATAAAAAAGATTTACCATATTACGCAACGAAGAAACATGCGTAAAATGGACCCACACAAAAAACTTGGAGGATCTGGACTTCGCCGAGGATATATGTCTGATTTCCCACAAACTGGAAGATATGCAAGTGAAAAGCAACAAGTTGGCAGAGGAAGCATCCAAAGAGTATAGGACTTCTGGTGAACATAGATAAAACAGAGGTGATGAAGATTCCTGGCCAACACCAACAGCAACAACAACAACAGACAACAATCAGCATAAATGGGAGGAATTTGTAAGAAACAACCTCCTCTACCTACCTGGGAAGCATCGTTTCAACTACAGGCGAAGGAACTGACGAGGATATCAAAGCAAGAATCGGAAAAGCAAGATAAGCTTTCATTACTCTCAAGTCTTTAAGGAGGTCAACAGCACTCCAACTCCAATGTGAAGTCAGTGCCACTTAATATACGGGTCAGAGACTTGGCGCGTCATAAAGAGCATCTCAAACAAACTACAGACCTTCATTAACAGCTGCCTTCGCTCAATACTCAAGGTCAGATGGTTGGCTACAAAAGATCAGCAAGAGGGATCTCTGGGATCAAACCAACCAAGCAGGAACCGATTGCGCGACAAATAGGCAAGAAGAAATAAAGGTTGGTACGAGGCCATACTCTGAGGAAACCATCAAGTGACATCACTAGACAAGCCATCACCCGAGTAGAACCCGAAAGGGAAGCGGCGAGTTAATCGTCAGTACAAGGGTGACTTGGAGGAGGTCATGTGAAGAGGGGATGAAAGCATGTGGGCAGACGTGGAGCCAGGTGAAAACTCTAGCACAGAACCGAACGCAGTAGAGACGCGCGACTGAAGCCCTATGTTCCTCTAGGAATTAAAGGAAATAATATTAATAATATAAACTTAATTTGTTCTTATGTCCTCACTCCTCTTCACATCAGTACTTAGGGACTAATCTATTTCGAGAAAGTATGCAGTTCAAACAAACAAAAAGAATTAAATTCATTTCAATTAGGACTTTCCAGTTGATTGATTGGAACAAAGTCCTCAGCCTCAGGTTGACATGTTAGCTCCTCCTTGGGCAGATGCTTCAACGCTGTCTGATTATTTAACTTGAAGAGTAAATTGGTGGTGGTAGGGTGCTGGGTTCGAGTCCCAATGGGAACACCATCATTCACTGAGGAATACAGGTCAGTATCTGATAGCACAATAAAAATACCTACAAATTAAAAAAAACACTTACCAAGGCATTGTTAGCTGTATTTGAAGCAGAATTCAATGAAGTACAAATCTCTCCTGTAAATAATGCTGATGAACCAGATGCACCAGCAGTTGCTGTTCCTCCTCCTCCTCCTAGACTCATCAAAGCATTGGAACCAGCATCTGAACCAGTAAATGACTGATTAGATAAAACACTGGCATTACCACTACCCATGCCAACAACTCGTTTACGCTGTGCTCCCCCGCCATTGTTGTTTGTCGTATTCGTCAGAGATGCTGATGAGGCGAATGTAGACGATAGCCAAGAATTAGGATCCTCTCCATTATTCGCTTCCAGACCAGTGGAAATATGCTCGGGGATTTCTGAATCACGAGTTATGCTATCAGCCTAAGAAATATTTAAACAAAAAAAACACGAAAATATATACAGTTGATTATTAATCAATTGTTTAATGGAAAATTCAATTGACTATAAAATATAATATAAAGGGCAGAATGTGATGTTCTCCAAAAACAGTTGAATGAAATCATTGATTTCCGGTGTGTTGATGTACAAAAAGATGCATTACTCATCTTTTCTCAAACGTTAGGAAATGATTTATTGAGATCGCTAATAGCAAATTAATATATGTGAAAACTTGGGCACTGTGATGGTGGTAAGTAATTCCATATTAGTCTGTTTATTAGATGTATCACACAGTGAGTGAAACAGTATTATTTGCTGGATGACAAGGTTTCGAACACAATTCATCATTGTTCATAATCATATCATCAATTATAATCACACAACTTCGAAACTTGAGTTTTATAGTTTTCTTTGTCTTCTCCTATTTGTCGTTGCAGCAGGGGTAGTAGAATTTCCCAGATATCTGGGTGGACAGGTGTTGAATCATTCCTATTACACGTATTCTCCCGAGTTGATTCGATAAACAAAGCTTCTGTTATCAATCTCTCCCACCATCCTGCTGTTACATTAGATTTTAAAACTGACATCTTATCCCATCCAGCTTATTGTATGGTTGTGTGTAACTGCATGTAGTGCAGTGCTATATCTGAACTATTTCTCTAGATTTCTTATCTTATTTGGGTCAACCAATCTAGATTTTGCTAGGTTTTTATGCTCGGCTAGTCTGACTGCCCCTGTTCTACTAGTTTGACCTATGTATTTGACCTGACAATTATTCTAGCAGCGTAATAGATAAACTAAATTGTTCTGTTTTAAAAGTTCCACAGAATTAATCCTATAACCGACAAAGCTTATTTCTAATTGAGTTTGTGGATGTGAATTCCACTTTTATTCCTGCCTTGTTAAGAATTCTGCGTAAGGTGGTTTACACGGTTCCCTCTTTGTATGGAATCACTACTGATGATTTAGATTCCTTATTGGTGACGTTGTCTTGCGCATATTTGACATGCATGTCGTCATTAATATTATTATTATCACTATCGCTACTATCATTATTTATTTTTACATTTACTTACATATTTCCTGACTAATTTATCAGGGTAATTATTAAGTCTCCAAGCTTCTCTTATATGCCTCACTTCCTGTCTTAGATTTTCCTTGGTACTACTTAGTTTTTGTGCTCTGTCACTTAAACATTTCAACTGACATAGGATGGGATGAACGGAAGTCCAACTATCTGTTTGAATGTAAGGGTTTCCTGTAAACACTAAATCATCAGTGGTAATTCCATACAAAGAAGGAACTTTGGAATCCTTACGCAGAATTCTTAACAAGGCAGGAATAAAAGTGGCTGGCATTCAAACCACCCACAAACTCAATTAGAAACAAGCCTGGCCAGTAGAACAAGGGTAGTTAGACTAGCCGAGCATAAAAACCTAGCAAAATCTAGATTGGTTGACCCAAATAAGATAAGAAATCTAGAGAAATAGTTCAGATATAGCACTGCACTACATGCAGTTACACACAACCATACAATAAGCTGGATGGGATAAGATGTCAGTTTTAAAATCTAATGTAACAGCAGGATGGTGGGAGAGATTGATAACAGAAGCTTTGTTTATCGAATCAACTCGGGAGAATACGTGTAATAGGAATGATTCAACACCTGTCCACCCAGATATCTGGGAAATTCTACTACCCCTGCTGCAACGACAAATAGGAGAAGACAAAGAAAACTATAAAACTCAAGTTTCGAAGTTGTGTGATTATAATTGATGATATGATTATGAACAATGATGAATTGTGTTCGAAACCTTGTCATCCAGCAAATAATACTGTTTCACTCACTGTGTGATACATCCATCTAATAAACAAACTAATATGGAATTACTTACCACCATCACAGTGCCCAAGTTTTACACATATATTAATTTACTCTCTTCTCCTGTTTTGTGTGGTACACAAAAGGAGAGTATTGACTGCAGCTGCTGCAGATCTATCTATATAAAGTTCCTTGTTGAAGCCAGTCAGTCACTACATACAATTATGCAATACATTTCAGTTTGTCATATACTTCTACAATAGTTCCATATGTTCAAAAGAACAGTGAAATTAATCAAGCATGAAGTAAATGTACACATTGAAAAAAAGGGAGGAGGGGGGTGGGGGTAAACTAACCAAGGATATAAGTTTTTGTAAATCTTGTTTTTTACGTTCTCTTTCTTTACGTCTAGTTTCAATTTTACGCAACTCCACTAGCAGACGTTGTTCTTCTTCTACTTGATCTTTAGAACGACCATACAGTAGACTTAATTGTTGTTTACGTCGACGTTCATGAGCTGCATCATAGCGTAGACCTTGTGAAAGATTTGTCCCCCGTGACTTTATTATAAAGGTAAATATACAAAATAAATTTTTAAAAATATTTCTGTGTATAAGTAACTCATTTTGGTATTTAGATTCAGTTACCGCAAGAACAACACATTTACTGTCAGAGAGGGCTGCTATGTAGTTGCTCAGACTGAAGTATATATAGAGCCGGAATCGAACGCCGGTTAACCCACTACTACTTGTTGAAAGTCAATAAGTCACATGTCTATAATATAAACAACTATCCTGACAGGATTTCATCATGAGCTGACATATCGGTTAGAGAACCATTGGAAAACCAGCACTGGAGTAGTAGACAGCCGTTTCGTCAGCCCAGTTTGAGACTCTTCAGGAGTATACACCCACCCCACTGCCCCACCAGGGTTCAAACCCAGGTCCTTCCGGTTACAAGACAAGATAGCTCGTAGACCATTCAGCCAGTGAGACCCGCCAATCCAATGGCCAGCCCATGAATTCCAACCTCTGAGAGTATCTATCCCTACACTCGATCCAGGTTTTTCAATGGTTCTCTAACTGATATCAGCACATGATGAAACGCTGTAACCAATCAAAGCCTTGCAAACCAACACTTGAATATCCTGAAATGAAGTGGATTCTTAATACAGCATTTTGCACAAAAGTCCAATTGCCATCTTTCACATAAAGAACACTCTTCATGAAGGGGTACAGGAAAGAAATACATATCAAATGAAAATGGAGGGGGGGGAGGGTGAGAAAGAATAATTAGGACTAAATTGATCAGGCATGTCACAAGAGGACGGATGATTTTTATCCATATATATTAAAAACACTCTTCACACATAGGTTCTTGGAGCCTCAACAACTGGTAAACAGTGTCTTTTCTCTCTCGTCTTGGCTAGCATGCTCTACTAGTTGATGTAAATGTATCCAACAACTCATATCAAACAGTCAACAGTAAATTCATTTACATTAGATGGTTGTAGGCAATCGGCAGGATGCCCCCCCCCGACCAAGACTTCGGGCTTGTTGGCCCTCAACAGTCAGTCAGCAAGGCGGAGTATCTGCAACCACCTTGAAGGAACTCATGTCCCTTCTGAGATTCGAACCCATATCACCACCCAGTGTGCTTCAGTCAGTCAGACACGTTACCACTAAGCTACTCGGGCTCGTGGTTGACCTCCTGCAGACTGAATCCTATCGGTAGTCAAAGTTTGTACCAAACAATGAAACTAGACACATGACACCGGTTGACTAGTATCCAATCAAAGCAGTATATTCATTCATTTGATATTTTAGAAAACACATTGACAAAATAAAGACAAAGATTGTTTCACTAGGGGTTTTTTCATACCTGCTTAAAAATTCACTGGAACTTTCCACACCAAAATAACAACAACAGCAACAAGACTCATGAAAATTCTGAGTTTTATTTTTGCTAAATCAATGAAGTCAGTCGTTCTGCATAGATCAGAAACTTGACCAGTGCATCATGAAAAGCATTTCCTATATGCCATTATAGACCTTAACCAACAATAGCCCCCCCTTCGATGGCTCCACATCGAAGATCAAGTGGCTGACTGGCTGGTGGACCAGGAAGGATTAGCGGTAAACAAGAAACTCTGACAGTGAATAAACCAACAGGCGAGAACCGATTGCTCAACAAGTATGTAGAAGAGGAGACCGTTGGGTGACACCGCGCTCAATGCAGGCCATCCCTCGAGTGGGACCCAAATACAAAACGACGAGTGAAGCATTATTCCAACGGTGTGACATATAGGGGATGAGAGTTTATGGGCAATCGTGGGGCCAGCTAGACAGAACCGCAGAAAATAGGGAAAAATTGGAGACAGAACCCAAGGGAACAATAATAACAATGACAATAATAATAATAACAATAAATCAATGAAACATTTATTTACTTTATCTAACTGAGTTAATATTCCATAATATCTCTCTTTAAGATCTTCAATAGACGGACGTCCAGGAAATTGTTCACAATCCCATCGATCACGCATATGAATAAAGCGTAAGTCAAAGCGTTTGGCTAATTCCATTAAATGTGCTGTACGTTCTTCACTCCATTTTGAATCTTTCAACAGTGTTTCATATTCTTCTGCTGTATATTCTGGTACAGTGACATGCTTAATTACCAAACAAACAAAAAAACAATGAGAGAAAACTAATGAAGCAATATTTTCTTTAAAGTTAAAGTGTAGGTATTGAACAAAATCTGATGCTCACTAGGGACTGGCCCTATTCAGGCAGTTAACCTGGGGTTCTAGTGGGAAGTCGTGACCAGTAGGATACAGCAAGTCGAAGATGAGGCAGTAACTCATTGGAGAAGACATTGCGAAATGGTGGTGGTATGTCGTGAATCGGCAGAAGTTAGAATTCATGGGCCATCTGGAAATAAAACTCGATCACTACAATGTAATCCACTTATATGTAATCAAGCGGTGGGCTACGGATAGGGTAAAAATATTAAAAAGTGATATAATTAGGTGGAGACAGACACACATAGAGATCCCGATCACCGAATCTTTCTTCATCAGGTCAACAGTGAATACGTGCCGACGAAATGATGCAACACACCATTGCCAGATATATGGAAAATTACAATAGAAAACAACATAGAGTATAAAGTTACTTATCAAACCAATGACGTGAATACATTGATGCCGATGATGAACAATAAATTGTATTCCGGAACGACATCCACGTATGTGCGTGTGTGTGTATGGGTGTTACATCAAATAAACTTGTCTAAATACCGAATCCAGACGAACTACACAGAGATAAAGGGGACTTTACGTTCCGAGAAGAACATAGGACGGCTTCCAGCTAGAGTTTTGAAGTTTCACTAGCAGTGGTTTCATTTTGAGCCTCAACCTTCCTTCTTTACTGGCCTTACCACCGGCTCAGCGAAGTCTAGGAGTGCGTCAGCTGAGGATTGAACCCCTTACCCGCATAAGGCGTGATTGGCCAGCGCCCTATCATTAAACCACCACCAACTTACCTATACATTATTCAATAAGTAATAATAAGCGATAAATCGAATCAGCCTACCTTGTTATAACGAGCAAAATAATAATCGTTATTGGATTCTGATTCGGAACCACCTCGTCGCCAATGATATAACACTAGATTATCCTAACAACGGAAGTTAAAAGAAAAAAAACAAGAAAACAAAGCAAGACTAACATGATGCTTAGTTTAAATAAATGACAGTAGCTTAAAATTGTGATTTAAAATGAATTAATGTCATATTATAGAACAATTCATAGAATGTATAGATGTTGGAAAGGGGTGTAAAATTATACGATTATTAGGCAAATCCTATTGGAATAACAAGTGGGATGAGTGAAATAATACCGAGGACAATTTAAAGTAAGAATAAGAAGAGTAACAATTAACGCAGTTCTGATGCTGTTGAGGAAGAGTTAAATCTTCTAACAAAAATCCTAGTGGAAAATGGATTTCCCCCTCTTCTTTAATAGACAAGAACATTGACTTAAGCTTCCGTAACCAAGAAAATGTTATACACTAGCTTGGAATTCAAAGTTGACTCAGCCGCCAACATCCTTGAAAGAAGGATCTCACAGTCTATGTTGCATCGTTGAGAATAGCGTTTCCTAGTCGACCATTACTTTTCAATAACCTGGAAGACAAGACCCAGCAGTTGACCTACTCTATGTGAGTTTACCAATTTACCTGCTCGTGTAGATTTAGGTTTATCGATCGGTTTTGTTCAAGAGGTTGCAAGAATACTATCCTGCATGGTGGTTATGAAGAGGTGGAAGCGGAGCTATAAGGATAGCAATCACTGAACATCTGACCTTTACTGACCACCCTATATCACTACAGTATCGACACTTAAAGTTATCTACTATAAGGCGACAAATAATTTGCCCAAATCATTACGTAATCGACTCATCTGTTGCATTGCTGACGCCTTGGCCATAGAAACAGAAAAGCTAGATCGTTTTGCTTATTCAATTTGTATACTCTTCCCTTCTTACGTCAATTGTTACTATAATCAATCTCACTCTGAATTGTCCCCCGCATTATTCCACTCGTTCCACTTGTCATTCTAAATCAACTTTTTGTTCATGCAACGATAAAATCTCTACTATCAAGTGTGACGCCATATTGTGTAACGTTTTTATTTTATTCGCCTACTAATTCTATAATTTTGCACACACACACACACCATTCCAATATCTATAGATCATATGAATTGTTCTATAAATGATTTCAAAATGAAGTGACACCTTCATCAGCATACTAACAAATTAGAAAATCAAAAAAACAATGAGGCTAAAGTGTCAATCAACAAACTGTGAAACATGACTTCTTCACAATGCCTATCATCGGTTAGTATTCACTTTGATTCCTAAAATTGTACGGCTAATACAGTCATCAATATTCAAAAGTTGGTTTGTAGAGATTTGACTGGTTACAGGATTTCATCATGAGCTGGCATGGGTTAGAGAACCATTGGAAAACCTGGGAGTACTGGATAGCTGTTTCGTCCTAGTTTTGGACTCTTCAGCAGTATGCATCCACCGGGATTCGAACCCAGGACCTTGTAACCAGAAGTTCCTGGGTTCGAATCCCGGTGGATGCATACTGCTGAAGAGTCCAAAACTAGGACGAAACAGCTATCCAGTACTCCCAGGTTTTCCAATGGTTCTCTAACCCATGTCCGCTCATGATGAAATCTTGTAAACAGTCATAATTACATTACCCCCATTAAAATTTATCGAGAAATCAGCCACCAGATGTTACATTTATGATCCAACTACCTGCTGAAGTTAGTACCGAAGTGATTGTCTATCCAGCTCAGAGAATACAACGCCAACACCGACACCAATATCATCCACCTGAGGCACAAATCTGCTCCATCAGTTCTACAGTTAACTATCTTTGATAATTGATTTTGCTTCAGTGGTAAATAAATGTATTTAATGGTTGTTATTCTGTGATAAAATTCACACTCGAAATGGAGAACGAGTCTAGCATTCATTTCCTCGATATGAACTTATCAAGGAGGACCAAGGCAACTCTGAAGAGATCGATTTATCGAAAGCTGTCATGAAATAGTCAACTGACAAATTTCTACAGCTGGCTACTTATTGGTCGAAAACGAAACCTGGTCCCGTTGTTTGCCACTCGTATTCGGCGGCATTTGTAGCCCTGATACTGTGGAAGATGAGTTATATATCTTTTGAGGAAAATCTTAATGGAAATGGATTTCCACCACGTTTTACAGACAGGAATATACAGCTAAATCCTATGAAATGCGACTTATCATCCGTACCCAAAAAAATACTTCACATGAGCTTTGAATTCAAAGGGGACTTAGCTTCCAACATCATGAAACGAAGGATATCACAGTCCCTGAAAAGAACATTCCCTGCTGCATCTCTGAGAATAGCCTTTACTAGTCCACCATTACTGTTCAATAACCTGAAGGACAAGATTCCGCTGTTGACCAACTCTATGTGTGTTTATGAATTCACCTGCTCGCGTGGAGCTAGGTATATTGGTCGTTCGACTCGAGTTTTGTCCAAGAGGATGCAAGAACACTATACTGCATGGTTACGAAGAGGTAGGAGTGAAGCAACAAGAAGCGCGATCATTGAACATCTGCTCGATAATGATCACAACCTATCTCTATAGCCTCAGCCTTTAAAGTCATCTACAAGACAAAGAGTAATTTACCCAAATCCCTACGTACCCAACTCATCTGTATTGCTGAAGCTTTGGCTATCGAAACAGAAAAGCCAGATCTCTGTGTACAGAAAAAGTTCGTTCAACCCCTCCAACTTTCATGGTCTTAATCCCTCTATGCTAAAGTATGGTAATCCCCAACCATATTTTGGCTTTATCAATTTGTCATTTTTCATTTTGTCTGTTCAATTTGTAGTCTCTTTCTTATTACGTCAATTGTTACTATTACTACTCACACTCTGAACTGTCCCCGGTATTATTTCACTTGTTTCACTTGTCATTCTAAATCAATTCATTTTTACGTCAAATGCTATGCTATCAAGTTTCACACAATATTACGTAACCTTTTTATTTTATTCGATTTGTCTACTAATCCTATAATTGTACACCCTTTTTCAAGTTCTGTCCATCCAATGAATTATTCCATATATAAGATTAATTTGTTTTGCCACTTGACATTCAATTATGATTATAATCACAAACATTTTAGTTTTAATTGCATTTCATACTATTATTATTATTTTATGCATTCACACCTATGATTCAATTTCCTCACCGGATGTAACTTCTTAAAAAACTATACATATATACGATTGTACAGCTTGATGATAAATTTGTCGTTGAAAAGAGTCTCTTCGCTGAATCACTTGTTTTGATTTTCTATAATTTTCATTTCCCATTGATTATTGTTGAGGCCAACTGCTCGTTCTCTGCAGCTGAAAAGTCCCAAATAGAAAGAAATAATGCACTGCGGATTCAGTACTGCTAGTCAGCCGAAAACAATGCGTCTTTGATCATTCCGAGATTGGCATTTTCCGCCAAAGCGATGAAGTTATGACTAGTAGGTGAAATCGTCGCTCTAAGAACTGCTAATGCTTAGTACTTGATGGAAAAGAGTGTCAGAATGATACATTGTATCCAATGCAATGCAATCTAAAGAAAAAAGAGAGACGAACCTGTCTAGCAGAATTTGTAAAAGGTGTCCAATGCCATGGACCAACTTTTCCAACGCCAATAACAGCTTTAGGTTGTTTGTAAAGTGGTGTGTTATCAGCTGGCATAATCGGAGGAAGATCACTAAGACAGCGAAAAAAAGAATGGAATAAATAATAAATATGAAGGACAGAAAAAAACGATTACACCCGTAAAAGCTACAAATGTACATCGAAACGTATCACATGGGTATTCGCACAATAAGTATCGTTCATAGTCTAATCAGTACACAAAACTGTTTAGAAAAGAGAAAAAAGATGGCGATGGCGTCTAACCTTTGGCTAACTCACATGGAGCGCAGTAGCATTTGGATTCATAAAAAAGGGATATATCAATATGGAACCCTGTATGTATTGAAATGAATGAACAGTTATCGTAATATGTAGGAAGAAAAGTATGCTCAACGAGTTACATAACTTATGAGGCAAAAGTGTAACCGGAACTTTGAAGTACTCACAGAAACATCGTCGCCAACAGAACTTGGTAAAAGCTTTTTCGCGAGATTAGTTACTTTCTGACAACTAAATATTGTAGCCCCAGTCACAAGCCCTCTCTCTTTATATATATATATATATATATATATATATATTACTCTTCAATTTGTATCCCATGTTTCTTCAGATACTTAATGATTTTTTGAGTTACTTTGCTTTGTACTTTTCCTCCTATTGACTTTATTCTAAGTGTGCTTATGTGAAGCGCCATAACTTAGAATGAAATAAGTTTATGCTAGTGTAATAACAGAAGGCAAGAGTCAGGCAACAGATCATCTATATGCTAACTGTATCCGCCTACGCGAAATCAGTATTTGTTCATATTTTTTCACTACCAATATTGAGGACGTAAACATTGACGTAAAATACTGTCTACCAATTTCGGCTAGTAGCCAGCTCTCACCACACTAAGTCTACCTTTTTCACATACTTACTCGACAGTTTTCGACTACAAGCTACCTTTTGAACACTTTTCACACTTGGAACTATACGACCAATGAAACCACTAATCATACCAAAAAGTGACCAAAACAGCTTTCTTAAGGTTAAAAAAAAGCTGATATTATTCCGACTATAAGAATTTTTAAAAACTTACTTGATATTAAGAGTACTTTGTAAGCCCCAAACTTCACGTGGAACATGATCTGGTCGTTTTGGTTGAGGATTAGGACGTGAACTTTTTCTCTGTATATTTTGTGTGTGAGAGAAAAAAAAATTAAGATCAAGTTACCTTATCTGTTCGTGAAAGTAGAGCTTCTTTATCCAACACGCATTTCTTAGGACTTGTTTCATTGAAGTCGAGTATGTCTAAAACATCGATTGCAGCACTCATTTTATAGCATAGAAAGCCAGCTAAAACAAGAAAAATGTTTTTAAAGATCAAAAATTATTTTGACGGAAATTATTAAACTTTTTAAAAACGAAAGAGCACTGAATCTGATATACTTTATTCCTAATACACTAATTACAAGTTGAACTGAGTTACCTAATTACTGGCCTTATTCAGGTACTGTGTTATGGGCCTAACTAAATAAGCAAGGGCCTGTGGTAATGATCAAATCACAAAACACAACCACATAGAAGCAGAATTTGATCCCAAGATGTTAACCTGACGTAGCGATCAGGACACATATCTAAGTGGCCTGACGAACTATGCTGAGTAGAACGACTCTCCTGTGAAGCTCTAAAAAACGTTGGTTAGGTGGTATCAAAAGTATGTGCAACAATTATGATAAAGGTAGCTTTATCTTCACTCTTCGACAGATTCTAGAACATAGACACACTTTTCGGCGTCCAACAATTGTCATATTTCTTGACTTGAAGGCGGCCTTCGACTCCGTGGATCGAAAGGTACTATGGCAATGTCTGACTGTGAAGGGAGTGCCAAGAAAGTACATTGCACTAATCAAGGCACTCTATTCAAACTCACGTAGTCGTGTAAGGGCTTATGGGGAATTGTCATCTGAATTGGTAACAACCAGTGGTGTCCGACAGGGATGTCCACTTTCCCCATTTCTGTTTAACTTCATCATAGATATGCTAATGGAAGTATCCTTAACTGAACGTAGTGACTTAGGAATCGACTTGTTACCAGGGAATAATTCTTATGGACTTAGAATATGCAGATGACATAGTCCTGTTAGGGGAGGATGCTGACAAAATGCAGAGTCTTCTGAACACCTTGAGCAGCAATCTTCGTATGTTTGGCATGCGATTCGCCCCTGCAAAATGTAAGATGCTGCTACAGGACTGGACCACGTCAACCCCTAACTTAGTGATAGGGAGTGAAGTGATAGAACATGTTGACCACTTCACCTACTTGGGAAGTTGTATTAGCACCAACGGACTGATTGGCGATGAAATCTCAGCACGGATCCGAAAAGCTCGAGCTGCTTTCGCTGACTTACACCATCTCTGGCGTAGGCGTGACATCCGGTTATCAACCAAGGGACGTGTGTACTGCTCATCAGTTCGCTCCGTCCTTCTCTATGGCTCTGAAACATGGCCAATACGCGTTGAAGACATGAAAAGGTTGACTGCTTTCGATCATAGATGTCTGCGATCTCTGTCTCACGTTAGGTGGTTTCACAAGATAAGTAATGTTGACGTTAGGCGTAGAGTGTTGGGCAAAGAGGGAAAATCAATCGACGAAGCTATAAAGTTACATAGACTAAGATGGCTAGGTCACGTGCTGCGCATGCCTAACCACCGCCTCCCCCGACGGGCTTTTCTAGCTGATATAGGTGCAGGTTGGAAAAGAGCCAGTGGTGGCCAAACAAAAACATGGCATCAATCCATGAAATCCTTGACAGTTAAACTGAGTCAGGTAGGGAGATGCAGACTCCCGGGTTGGGGCCCTCGGGACTCTAGGAATCAATGGCTGGAGACAATAGGTGACATGGCTCAAAATCGTTGTCAATGGCGCAGATGTATTCAGTCTCTGTAATCTTTCATATTCCTTTCTACCATTACCCATTCTGTTTCACTCTTATACTTGTCAAACTCTATTGATTCTCTTCACTCATCTTCTTGTCTACCTCTGTGTGCTATTTGGAACGTGGCAACTCGAACTGCTGCACTTCGGTGCCAAGTTCTATGTTGAATCCAGACAGACAGACAGACAAAGGTAGCTTACACTTTGATTGGAGATTTGAGTTTGTAGTCTTTATCGTTAACTTATCTTTAATCGCTCCTAAAAATATGCTGCCCACTGAACATTATGGGCCCCAAGATCAAGAAACTATGTGAAATCGAACAACATGACTGATCAAACAGAATTCCTGTATTTGGGTTATCAATAAATACGCAGACGAAAGTATATATATATATATATATATATATATATTCTCCACCTACATGCTGACTTCAATGCTAATCGAGTAAAATATCTTGCCAGTTACTAATTTTACTTCAGAGGTCAAAATATTTAGACGCAACTAGACTAGCAAGTAATTTTATTGCTTCAGTAAGGAAGCTCAACCAATCCGATAAAAATCTACTAAAAGATTAAACAGTTACTTCTCAAAAAAAACCGACAATGATGACTTTTTCTTGCAACTTCGTGCAGAAAACCACTTTTCCTGATAAGCAATGATTGCATAAATGAAAACCATTGAAAGTCGATAAACGTATCATATTTTTACATATCATCGATAGAGAAAACCAACTGAAGATTGCTATTAATTTCACAGTACCTGTTTCAAACCTGATTCATGCGTCAGACTGTATTAACGTACCTGCACTAAAATAAACGCAGAAACAGGTAAGTATTCGGTCCTTATGTGCTCATCTCATAAGATGGCTAATAATATGCTGTGCATGTTACTAAAATCCGAATTCCTTTGGTGTCATTCGTATTCTGATACCGAAAAATCCCCATTGGCTTCGGATACAACAAATAATAAGAGCTGCTAAAACAAAACGTTAACTTCATACATGGTCCATCCAGTCAATCATTCCTTATCACCATTCTTAAAGAAGTTACCAGCTTGTTTTTGGGGGAGTGCGATATTTATGCAAAGCTAGCCCAAATAATCCAAACACCTATTTCCTAGAAAGGTGCAAATCTTTCAGCAGAAACCTTGACGCGTGGTCTGGAGGGGGGTAAGGTAAGCAGTCCTTATATGGTGTGGATTACTGTCGATCGCACTAGCACATGTGTGGTCATTATCACTGATTTTCTTCATCAATCAGGACTGTAACATGATGAGCATTATTTCATACAGTTATATAGAAGGATCCAATATCAATCGTTGAACTGCTACTACAAAGCATCTCCCTCATAGCGGCTGCTAATGGTCTCTGATATCCATGATCTCTAGAGGATAGATTTGTAATTAGTCCTACCATTTGTCATCATAACTATGGTGGTGAGAAGTAGACTAAATTAGTAGGTAAACGTGTGGTTAATGTTTAGACTGTGGTACTGCAGTGATATTAGACTTTTTAGTAATCAGACAATGATAGTAATAGAAATAACCAAAAGCTGACAGAAAAATCTGGTGACTGTAAACTATAGAAGCCAAAAAACGATACGTATTCTTGACATTAAACTATCTAACTCCAATACAAACGATTTTATGGCATATCACATAAATATTAGTAACATAACAATGGGGACGAATCAGCATTAAAAACTGTCAACAGAAGAGAATGACATGTGCCCTCCCGCTATCACAGGTTGACAAACCCAGACACGCCTCAGATAATGCAAGCTGTTGCCACTTGAAAGCAATAAAACTAAACGTTTTAGTTTTGTACAAAACAAGGAATGGCTTGGACCAATAATTAATTTCAAATTTCCCTAGTGATTTCGATAATCTGAAGCCAAGCAACATAAAATATTGAAACTTTTGAGGTGTACTCTTTTTCTAAGCATGCAAAGACTAGATATCAAATACTGGTGTTTGCGTAAGGACTAAATATTATTTACCGCTTACCGGAACGTTACAATCTGTCAATGGCGCGTTTTAAATTCCAATATCCAATGTCGTTTTTACGAGCTAGTATAAACCAATTTGATTTCTTCGTGCTCGCCTCTTGATTGTGAGGTATAGGTTCCTGATCTTCGGTAAACTTCTGCGTAGCTTGTCCCGCCACTCGACTGTTGTAGCTTTGGTTGACTCCGAAGGGAGTAGTGCTGGGATTAATTATATGTGGTTTGTAGTATGAGGTATGTTAAGACTGTTACTACTGTGAATTGAGTTGATCCTTTCTCCAGTTAGTCCTTCGGTATCGTCGACAAGAGAAAAGAGATAGTAATAATAATAATAATAGTAATAATAATAATAGATATAATTAGTGAAGCTATTCAGACTAAGAGACAGAAACGAAAATAGGAAACGTAACAGCAGTCAGCTCATTAAGTTTGAAGAATAATATATATATCGGTAATAGTAATAATAATAATGGTAATTATAATATTAATAAGTTGTCAGGAGAGTAAGACGGGAGAGAATGTAAAGAAGTAAAATGACGAGTTTCGACTTCCAATAGAGAAAAAGTACAGTTTTTGAGTCTCAATATTTAGTTCTTGCACCTTGATCATTTCATTAGCGTTTTTATTGTTGCGGTTAACCTAAGATTTGAGCACAAAAATGTACCGAAAGAGTTCGACAACACCGGTGACCTTGAGGCGCTCAGTCAGCAAGTTAATGAAACCAGGAAAATTACATTATAATTATCAATAAATTATGCTAAATGGGGTGCTGTGATACTTCAATTGATGCACGTTAGGAGTTAGGTTAGGTGTAGAAAGGATTAGGTTGAAGTTTAGGCTAAGGAAAAGTTAGGGTCAGGTAAACATGATAAGAGAGGTATCCAACATCGTTATTACAAGCTAGTATAAACCAGTTTGATTTCTTCGTGCTCGCCTCTTGATTATGAGGTATAGGTTCCTGATCTTCGGTAAACTTCTGCGTAGCTTGTCCCGCCACTCGACTGTCGTAGCTTTGGTTGACTTCAAAAGGAGTAGTGCTGTGATTAATTATATGTTTTTGTGGTATGCGGTGTATTGAGACTTTTACTACTGTGAATTGAGTTGATCCTTTCACCAGTTAGTCCCCTGGTATCGTCATCAAAAGAAAAGAGATAATAATAATAGATGCAATTAGTGTAGCTTATTCAGTCTAACAGACAGCAAACATAATAAAGGAAACGTAAAAACATTCAGCTGACTAAATTTGAAGTTGATATATATATATATATATATATATACATATATAATATCACTAACGATAATATTAAGTGTTGTAGTTGGTGTTGTCAAGATAGTAAGACAGGAGAGAATGTCGAGAAGTAAAACGACGAATTTAATTGTCTACTCATGAATAGTGTATGCGATTTTAAAGGAATAGGCCATTTGGACGCAGCCCTTGTGTCACTGCATGATTGTCCAGCCCTCGCTTAAAAGTGTCCACAAGCAGTGCTGTAGCTGCATCTACCAGAGAGGAGTTCCAGAGACGGCGAACCCTCAGTGAAAAGAAGTGTGAGCGCATCCGAGTCCTTGTCCCCTGCTGAGCTATCCTTCTGGGATTTCCACGAGAAAGCTTATACCTACTCAATGGCAGAACACCTTTGTTTGGGTGATTCTGGTCATTCGTTATGTTTCAGGCAGTAATCAAGTCCCTCCTAAGCCGATGGTAGCTAAGGGTGAATATGTCTAATTTCTTTAGCCCTTCACCATATGGTCTATTTCGGAGACCAATCACTCCTTTTGTCGCCTGTTTTTGGACTCTTTCCAAGAGGTTGGCGTCTCTTCTAAGCAGTTGAGGTGCAATAATATTATGCACCTCAAGGTGTGACCTGACGTATGTTTTGACAACCTTAGAAAGAGCTCAGGAGTGAGTGCACCTGACTGTTTATGTGTAGAGTGTGTGACCGCATATGCCCTCACTACGTCCCTATGTAATTTACACTTGTGTCCAGTTTCTCCATTAGAACTAGAACTATTTTTTATTTATTTTTATTTATTTTTGGTAACGGCTTGATTCCACACTGTATTTTTGGTACAAGTGTGGAATTTTCAGCATGGATATCGGTAGCCCAAATTTTGCAGGCCGACCATAGATATCTGGTGTGCGCCGGTGTGGGCTCGAACTCCGGACCATGTGCATGGTCGTCGAGAGTCCTAAACACTGTGCCACCGACGCACACTAATCCACTCTCCAAAGTTGTGCAGGGCATGCTTTCGTTGTACGGGGTGTAACTTGCATTCTTAAGCCCAGATGTACGTAATTTCACTACTTTGCACTTATTCGGATTGAAAGTCATACCACTGGACACCGTCCAGTCGTCCAGAAGGTTTAATCTACTTGCAGTCTATCTGAGTCCTCCGGACACTTTATCGCCCTCCATATCTTTACGTCGTCAACGTATAGAAGAGTCGGGTAGCTCAGACGGTATGGTATGTCACTGATAAAAATCAAAAACATCAGTGGTCCTAGGATAGAACCATACGACACTCCTGATGACGAGTTGTACCAAGATGATCGGACTTGATTGACTTTCATCTAGGTGGTCCATCAACCATGATAGAAGCGACTTACCGACACCTGCCTGACCTATTTTGTGAAGGAGAAGGTCATGGTGAACCAAGTCAAATACCTTCTCAAAGTCTAGGAAGACCATCTAGGACTTGAACATTCATATCCCACCATGATGTCCAATCTACCCAAGCCAATAGTAAGTTTGTTATACAGGATCTGCCTTTCCTGAAACCGTGTTGGGCTTCACGGAATATATTAGAGATATCAAGGTAACCCCTGATGTGATCAACAATAATAATTATCAGTGCTTTTGATACCACTGGGAGTAAAGCTACTGGTCTATAACTAGTGACATTTTGCCTATCCCATCATTGAAGATCGGAGAAAAGATGGCTCTTTTCCACTCCCTCGGCAGTCTCCCCGAATCCATCGAGTGTTGGAACAAGTCTCATAAGGGCCTACAGAGAGCTTTGACACACTGTTTCAGAACAGATGGCCTGATGTCGTCACAAGCTGGGGACTTCCCAGGTGTGAGTCGCTGTAGCTTCCCTAGTACTATTGCGGGGTTTATTTGGGGAGTAGCCTCTAGGTCTTCCTCCTGTGAAGTAGTAGTGCCACCATTTTAGTCCGTAGCAGTAATACCCACACTACTGTTTAACTGTTTGGCAAAGGCTAAACTGAATGTCTCTGCCATCTCCAGGCTAGTGAGGTACTGACCGTTTGGACCTACTAAGGCGCATGCCTCCTGGTTGGTTGGTTTTCTTTCCGAGATGAATCGATACAAGTTTTGGGGATTTGCCAGAAGATTTTGGCAAGGTTAGCCTGGAATAACCTCCTGTCACTCCTGACTATCGGGTTGCACCGGTTCCTGAGTTCCAGATATAAGTCGTGGTCGATCTGACTCTTGGATACGCACCACGAAGACCAAGCCCCCCGCCTTGCTTGCAGAATACGTCGCGTGCCTCTCTTCAACTATGATGTCTTTCTTTTGTGACTAAACGGACGGTATCGCAGATTGCTGTATGAATAATCTTTTTTACCACTTCCCAGTGTTCATCCACAGATAGCTCATCCCATGCCAAGGGCCAGTCTGCGTCAGACAAGAGCCTCCGCACTTCAGCACAGACAGCCTTGCTGTAATACAGACATGGTCGCGTAACGTCCCACTGCATGTGCTCAAGGAGGGCAAGATCGTAACCTGTGGCTGCGTGGTCACTAATCCTAGAGAAGTCATGATCTGGGCCTTTTCGACGAGTTGTTGGTCACTGGTTAGAATGTGACCTAGTTTCGATGACTTCCCACTAGGACTCCACCTGGTGTTGTCCCCAAAATTCTCAGACAGTCCTGTATTTCGAATAGTTTGCAGTAGATTTCGGCCGAATTTTCCCTTAGCATACTCCGAGCCAAGGTTCAGTGATGTGGCACTGAAATCTCCAGCTATGGGGATTTTGTCATAGCCAAAGTCTCGTATCCCTGTGATAGTGCCGAGCAGTACCTGATTGTGCTCTACCCCACAGGTGGGAGATCGGTAGATGCCGCCCAGTATATGCTTGGTGTGGCCTACGGTGAAATGACACCATATGGAGTCTGGGAGTTCAATAAGTGACGAGTCCGTTGCGCGCACACATTTGAGTTGCCTGTCTACCCCTCCTTCTTTACTATCCCTGTCTCTCCTGACCAGAACCATATCAGCATTAGTGAGGGTTAGCCAGGTTTCAGTGAAAATTATTATTTTAAGCTGCATGCGTGATTGGAGATTTCTGAGTTCGCCTACTTTTTCTCTCAGTCTTCTCACATTGCTATATAGGCAGCTGACAGTGAGTTTCATAACCTTTAGTATGTTGTGGGATGGTTGATGTGAAGCTGCCTGCTGGTAGGGGACTTAATGTTGGGACCAGTTGGCCGATTCCGGTGGAACCGGCCCGTTGTATTTTTATTCCGTGGATTCAGGCAGGACACTTAAGGGACACAGACTGTTATTCTCAGTACTGCATCGCTGTAGCGTCACTGAAGCTTGTGGACGTATTAAAGCCTCAGTTTGCTGCCTCCTTAGGGTTCAGGGTCTGCTTTGGCGGCATCGGATGTGTCCTCCCGTTTTCCCCTTGGTCTCATACCACGTTGAAGTGCTATGGCCAACTGCTCCGGGGGGTTGAATGTAACATTTGGCAGCTTTGGAGAGATAATCAGTGTGAGATGAGCGAGACGAGGTAGCCGGAAAATGGAGATTGCTCCAGAAGCGCCAAGGGTCATCTGAGATGACAATCATCTCCATTGCTTTACGCCGTGCACGCGTTTTTCAGAAGCAGTGTCCGTTTCCAGCTCCGGAACAGCGTGTACTACCATAGAGGTAGAAGGCATCAGTTCCGGTGACTCCCTCAACATTTGTCTGTTAGCCCTTGGTCTGTCATTTCTCAACCTTATGCTAGAACTTCTGTCAATGGCTAGTGCCTGAGTCATTAATATTATTCTTTCGGCCTCTTCGGCAGAATTCAGTGTAACTCTTAATGAGAGTGGCTTACCCTGAGGCGTGTGGACACACCTGTGCAGCCTGCAAAATTTCGCTGAACTAATGTTCAAACCTAGTTTATTGCACAGTTTGGACCACTGTTCCTGATCAAACAAGGCCCGTTGTTCATACAAGCTATCCTTGCTCACAGGTACATCAAAAAAGATAGGAGAAATAGGCCAACTGACCTCAGACTTAGGTTTGGCGTTTGGCTGCTTGTATTCTTTTGCAGGGTCAATAACTTTAGACTTCATCAGGTTTTGACCAGCCTTTGCTGTGTTGCTAGGCTTGCCAGTGGATTCAAGTGGTGCTTTGGCAATTCTATCTTTCCCTGATGTTGTGGGTGCAGCCATGGGACTCTTCACTTTGCGAAGATTGGCATTTTCAGTCAGGTGGACTGAAGTATCCTTCTTATTGTCTGTACCAAGTTTTGGTAGTGTCGTGTTAGCAGGTGGGGAACTGCATGAGACTTAGTTGAGACACAAGAATGGCGTGCTGTTTCTGCTATCCGCAGACATGCTGTGTGGTACCGTCCCAGGGCGACAAAGTGGGCAGATATACCAAAACCATGGGCATGAGTTATTTCGCATATGATTTCGGCACCCCTTTGTCAAAAAGACGGTGTACCCATCGTTTGCGAAAATTGAATTCAAATGCTGAGTCAGTTTTAGATATGATGACACTACACGCCTGACATTCGTCTCACTTCCTTGATGACCCTCTCGAAGTCTTATGACGTCTTGAGCGTTTCCTTTTTGTTTTGCTGTGTTTCACACACTGGCTTTCAGTGGATGCAGGTGTGGTATCCTGTCCATCTGACATTGCCTGTGGCGTAGTATCAGAACAGACGAGACCTATACGAGTCTTTAGGATCGGTATGCGGGAAAGGGGAGATGTTTCTGGGTAATTGCCTTCTCCGGCTGAAGCCCTTGTGGCTACAGAATACAGCGTTTTGTTGCTTTTTCTAAGTCTATTTTCAACAGCCATATTAAGAATCACTATGAATTATGCTACATAAGAATAAGAGAGCAATAGTATCTGCCCACAAGAACAAGAATAAGGCTGATAATGTACAAGATAAGTAAAGGAAAGGTTTTCGACTTCACCTAACACTAGGTGTTGCAAGTGGCACAAGGACTGTGATTGGGTCTATCTCCCATGGTCTTCCTCAGAAACGATCGCTGCATGTAAAGGAATTTTGACATGGAATGGCGATTAATCCATTCGCGATTAAGTACGCTATATTGTTGCTTTATCGGGGTGTGAAATATGGGCTTTCGCACCTTTTCGCTAGTGGGACAAGGTAGTTAAGAACATACGTCCCTATAACTGGAGCCCTAAAACTCAATGCTATGTCGGTCGAAGTAGTGCTCAAACTGAGCAAACCATAGTACGGGATCATGTCTATCAAATTTGTGAGTGCCAGTTTTAGGGTTTTCTAGGGTACCTAACTCAGCAGAATGACGGTTTTCTGAGTCAGCCTTCATGGTCAGTAAGTCAGATATAGTAATGAAAAGTAAATTAAGAGTACGTAATAATATAAGCAACGAGATATGTTAAAATATAGACGAACAAAACCTGCAGCGTTACGGTGAACGACACCAAAATAAACGGCTTATTATGAACTCCTTGATATCATTAATTCAGTAACTCCCCATACTAATAAAGCGATTGCGAAATTATTGACCAATATAGCATATAGTGATAGAAGACAGCTGTTGGTTTTGAACGTATATTTTTATTAGCGCACCGACGATGGGCAAGTCAAGTGGGAGAAATCTGCTCAAACACGCAGAAAGGCATTTGTCAGCCACGTCTCGTAAACCGTCAATGCCCAGCTCTTGCTACACTAGGACTCACGCTGTTCCTTGAAGTTTCTCAGAAACGCTTAGTAATAACGGACGCAAAACCATAACACCGATTGGCTACTCGAGAATTCTTTATTGTAACACCAACATATAGGCAGCTTTAAATTAAGTTTAACTAAGGTTTCTGACAGTTTTGGTCTGACTTCTTTCTGAACAGCGACCGATGAGACGATGACTGGCGTATTGATGCCTGCGCGAAAATTGGGGAAGTTGGTTTTGAGTAAACAGCCATGAATTGATCGTTCAATCTTCAACTACATTGACAGCATTCATCATTCATTAGAGAAGAAGGAATTTAGAAATCACAAAGACGATATCGTCCCCACTTGGCTGCTTTTCTCGTCCTTACGTATTTCTCACTCATCAACTGCCTCTGAGTGACGGCAGTGTTCTATAGGTCCCACACACATAGACAATGCCCTTCAAAATACAGGCCTATAGTCTCACCAGCACCTTAGTGAAGTTCCTGGGGAGAATCCCCGAGAAGGCTATCACAGCGTACCTAGAAAGCAACAACTTGTTGTCCAGAGCACAGCATAGCTTCATAGGGAACCTGTCATAACTATCAAATCTTCTGTCGGCAAGAAAAAGCTGTGTCAAGTCAAGGGGCAACAGAAGACCTGTCGACGTCGTCTTCATAGACTTCAGCAAAGTCTTCAATCAAGCGCCTCACAAAAGGATACTCACGAAGCTGGAAATCTTTGGAACCAAAGGAAGCTCACTAAACTAAATTGGGTAATTCTTCATAGGTGGGAGACAGGGTGTCAGGATCAACTCAGAATTCTCCTCCCGGACAACAGCAAGTAATAGAGCATCAAGTGGCCCTGAACTTGGGTCTATCTTATATGTATATCAACGAGTTATGTATGCTCGCGGATTCTCCAGTGGCCCTGCACGCAGATCACTTAAACATTTGGAGAGAACTGAAGGTCTACAGTGATACGCTCACGTTCCAAGGAGACCTCAATAAATTACTAAGTGGTGTGACAAAAAAATTCTCCCGATGAACGTAGGGAAATGTGCCACCATGTGCACAGAACACGCAAGTATCAGCTCCTTAGAACTACAGGGAATGACGCACACATTAATTCAGACTCATTTGGATTTTAAGTGTCACGCACATTTTAAAGCGCTGGATGAACGTAGTTTCATGTCTTCATAGGCAATTCACAGAGCGTTTTCTAGAATCCCTAGAGATGTGTTCACTTCCTTTAGTGAAGTTCAGACTTGAAAACCGTATCCATGCAGCTAGTCCTTGTCCTAAAGGGACTCACACATTCTAGAAAAGGTTCAAAGGAGGCCAACCTCTATGACTCTTGGCACAACTAATTTATCATATGAGGAAAGACTAGATAGTTTAATCTCTTCTCCCTATCATACCGTTGCAGAGAGGGGATCTAATTACAACATTTCTGGGGTTCTTATTATGATTCCTCCTATAATACCACAGTAAATCCAAGTTTTCATGTTCTACTATGTGCCAACTCTGTGTACGGTCAAAGAGGAACAACGTTGTATGAAGAAAAAGTGAAAACGTGAAAACATAGATAGGTAGCGAAATCAAATTTGAAAAAGCACGAAGTGATTGAAAGACGTGAATAACCATGTAAAATACATATGCAGCAAGCGAAAAGCAATGTTTAATAAAACAGTGGCAAAAGTTCCACAAACATATGTAAAATTATATTCTGTAAGCGTGTAACATTCGTAGATGGATTAGTTTTATAAGCGTACAGTGGGGCTTAATATGGGGGCTCTGCATGTTGTAAATTTTAAATCATGACTATAGGCCTGATTTTTTCTTTTTTCCACCTCACCAGGACATACTAAGCGAGTTCAAAAGCCAAGGAGAAACCATGTCGCTGTGGAGTATTGTTTCTCGCACCGAGTCTTAACCACCAGGATCCAACTCCCGAAGAAGTGGTGTCAGTGACTTCAGTTGACTCTTTCAAGTAGGATTCGGTGAAGCATGGTAACTAACTAGAAATGGATTGACATAGGCCTCAAGCTTTCTATCCTCAACTGAAGAATCTGAATCTGAACGCCATCCTAGAACAAAAATAGATACTCCACAAAATAAGTTAACATCAGTTTGCTTACTGCATTTGAAAAAAAATCATCGAGGAGGATGAGAATTTAATAAAGATGGGTGACTGTTCTATGTGACTAGGAAGAAGATACCAAGAAACCAACACATTAAAAAGTTCTAAATAAGGACATTGGATATTAGACATCAAAGCGCAAATTACGTTGTATGCGCTTCAGTCACCTGAAGCTGTTTAGTAGTGGTTTTCCGACCTTATCGTCAACATTACCTTTCGTACGAAAGATGGCCACGAAAATTGGTTTAATCCAAATGCAGTCGACGTCAAATAAGTTACAGAATTTTGAGCAAGCCGCTAAGTATATCAGTGAGGCTAAAACATCTGGTGTCAAGGTAGTCCTTCAATCTAAAACTTTTATAATAAATAGCAATTCAGATGGTTTTCTTGCCCGAGTGTTTTGACTTCGTTGGAAGCTCCGTTAACGAGACGCTCAGTTTATCAGAAGTGTTGGACGGACCATTGATAACAAATTACCGCTCTTTAGCTACTCGAGAGTGTCTTTGGATTAGCTTAGGTGGTGCACACATTAAGGTAAGTAGTTTACGTAAACTTTCAATTTTTGAAGTGGAACTTGGTTTGCATTTATAACATTTTAGCCTTTAGTAAACTGTGTGTAGTGAATTTAGTTCGAAGTCAAAACATGTAAGATGACGCTAGGAATCAGTTTTTATGAATATCAAGTACTGAATGATGCTATTTTGATGATTCCCATAAACTCCATTGTTTTATGACACATCATATGATGTGGTATTTATGCAGAACTCACCTTAGTCAAAAATCACAATGACTTTTAATAGCTTTTGAACTGTACACAATTCACACTTGCTTCACGAATTATTTGACTTCTGGATACGAGGCGCAATCAGTCCGTAGATATAAAGTGCATTATGTTTTGAGCCAGCCTGCATTAAACCTTTCAGTGTAAATCTCTATGGATATGCAGCTTCTCATTGAAAGCCTTCACCAGGAAAACTAATCACACTAGTTCTGGTAGAGAATCTCGATTGTTGATCACTGCATGTAAGAATCCGAATTCCACGGTTTAAATATGTTTTTGCAATGGCCCCGGAGATGTCTGGTGGGGGGGGGAGAAAGAAGATTAGATATCAGTGAGAGTTGAGTCGGTCAACCAAACCTTAGGTCTAGTTTGATATCTTGAGTGTGTCGAATTTATTTCCTTTATGGTTGTTTGAAGTGTGGTTATATGTGCCGATTCATTTCTGTCCTTGTATATTTGTTTGTTGGTCCAGTAGTCACCAGCATATTGCTTAGGGTTATTCTGAACAAACTCTAAGGTCATCTGAATTAAGTAGCATCACATAAATATGTGAGATCCATGCAAAATATGCACCTTTTGTTATCGTCCTGAGGTCACAAGTGTTCAGTGAGTTCTAACTTGTTTTTTCCACATTTTTATTTCAACACATTTCCTGTGTTGTAATTCACACTATGAAGTTTGACGTCACACGAAGTCAGTCGAAGTTATTTCATCGGTTTGACTACTTTCTTCAATTTTGTTTTTCCTGATATTCCGATTTGCACGAAGCTTCTTCTCTTTCCAGATAAGATTGGGTGATTAAAAGACTGAATTATTAGAATTTCTTTATTGCAGTTATAATTACCCCTTGTTACCCTTCTACATAAAGTACTATTTTCGGACTAAATGACCATTATACCTATATGAAACATAGACTGGCCATTCGCTAATATGTTTTGTCTAATTGTTATTGTATTGTATTCAGTATATATGGTATGTTTACTTCACTTATTTTTGTACTAATTTAAAAAAAACTATTTGATATATTGATGTGTTTTCCTTCTTCGATTTCATAACTATATCTAGACTGGTGAACATGACGATGATCTTCATAATGCTCATATAATTATCAATTCAGATGGTCAAATAGTAGGCGAATACCATAAAGTTCACTTGTTCGATGCCAATTTAAACGCTGATGTTGTTTCCTCAACTATGAAGACGGTTAGTTCCCCTGAAACTTTTTTGTTAGTTGTTTGTTATTGTGATAGGAATATCTGAATTAATGTTACTGTTTTAGGTGGGTTTCATACAGCTAAACGATTATTAATGTTAAGTTAAAATATGAGTAGCTGCCTGATTCGAAACGAAAGCCTCCAGATTATTCGTCCGGTGGCCTATCGACTGAAAGAGTTATGGCATCACAGTAAGCACCAGAAGATTCGCCTTGTTGTTATTACTAATAATGAGAAAGGCGAGACCCTCGCACTAATTGCTCAACGAAAGGGTGTCATTGGTGCTAAATTACAGAACAGGAGCATATGATTATGTTCTGCTTATGTTGTCTAAAATAGCCTTAACCTGGCTATTTATTGCACAACTGAGATGCGCCCTTCAACTTGTCACTGGCAAACTGTTTATCGCAGCTGACAGGGGCGAAATTACTTCTTTTTTGACGAAGTTATACAGACCCTAATGATCAAAACTGTAGGTCAGTATAAGTGATTTTACACTACGTTTTCTCAATTTGTTTTTTAATTTCATCTTATTAATTTTGATAGACAATAATATATTGAGTAGGTGGCTTAATGTCAATGCTCACAGTCTAGTGTTAATCCGTATGTTCTTTTATTAGATATGAAACTATTTGTGAAATCTTATTTAGACCGTTCTTATTTATTAACTCCTGGGCTACTTTTAAATACTTTGTCATGTGGCGAAAGACATCAAAAGCTATTAGTAGGGTGGGTGATGTGCCTTTAGGCCAACTCGTTAGCGTCGTTGTTGACAGACATTTGAACTCACTCAAGAAATTGGTAGAAATCATTTTATCAGAGTGTTGACATCCTTCATTCACAACCCTCTCCCTTGTACCTTTTCAGGTAATATAAAAGAAGCAATTGTATATGACTTTATGCTAGCCAGCGCTACTAAACAAAACTTCAGTAACACCTCATTTGGAACGAATTTCATGTAATGTAAAAAAAAGTGTCAGGAATGAGATTTCTAACTTACTGCGCAACAGAGACTCTAAGAGTAATATTCTCTAGCCGCCTACTGCTTCCAAGCAGTGTGAAGGAGAAACTCCCGCATATGGTCACTCCAATGTGCATATATATTAGTTCACCTGCTCGTGCGGAGCTAGGTACATGGGTCGTTCTATGCTGGTCCTATCAAAATGTGTTAGAGAACATTAGCCAGCCTGATATCAAAGAAGAGGCACTGGTTTACTGAGAAGCACCATAATTGAATACCTCATCAACACACCTATCACAACACTTCAAATGACTTCAAATTCAGAGTCATTTACTTGTGTCACGTATGCGTAGTCATCGCCTTCCTCGACAATGGGCAATGTTAGCTGGAAAAGAGCTAGTGGTGGCCAAACCAAAACATGGCCTCATCAGTCAATGAAATCTATAACAGTTAGTTTAAGCCAAATAAGTAGGAAGGTGTAGACTTCCTGACTGGTTGGGGTCCTCGTGATGGCAAAAAGAAATGACTGGGGACAATTAGTGATATGGCTCAAAATTTTCTTTGTCAATTGCTGGCGCAGATGCATTCACTCCTTATGACTTATAATACCCAATAAAAACTATATTGTTCTTCGATATTACTATTCTTCTTGCCTCACATCTCTGTTTACTGTCTCTATTTTGCATTTCTTTTTTACTTTCTTCTCTTGCTTTGTGTGCTACATGGAGGGAGTGTGCATTTCGGATTGTGAGGGCGTTTGTTACTTCCCGGCTGCCCACACAGTGGAAGTTGGTTGGGTGACCGCAGAGCCCAGGGGACAACTGCTTGAGGCCGGTCACACGCGGCCTGTTTTTGTTTGTTCTCTTTTGTTTGGTGTGCCTCAGTAGCATACTTATCACTCCCGCCCTGTGACATGGCAGCAGGAAGCGCGGTCGTTGTTAATCCGGGCCACGGCATGATATTTTGTGAATTTGTTTGAATCATGGTATTGGATGGGGTAGCTGCTTTTTGTTTAACCGCTATCCAAACAACCTGCCTGGCATGGTAGAACCTCAAGAGACATAAGTCTCAGCCAGTATAGCTTGATTAGGTTGTTACGAAGGTGATTGAGTCTTAGAACGATGAGTGATGCTTGAATCTTGAAAAGACGAATGAACCAAGAATTTAGGCTTTATTCATTTTACAATGAAGCCGGAATGGCTTAAACATATAAAGGAAAAAAAGAGTGTTAATAGCGGTAGAGATATGAATATGACTAGATACGTATTATAAGAAAAGTTCACAACATTCACTGCGGCTTGAAAAGGAATGAGCCATTATGTCACGCTTCTCTGGTACGCAAATTGTAAGGCCGTACACGTTGTTGTTTTTCCAAAAGAATACGCCCGTTGTTCGTTTCAGTTGTATTTTCTTCACGAAGAATATTAGGATCAGTGGTCGCATCCCCATTTACTTGTTGCTCAGGAATTGCGTCGCCCTCCGGTATTGAATTTTCAACTTGATCTATATCTTCGCCTTTGGGTGCCAGATGATGAAGAGCAACTGTATCTTCACGTCCATTACCGAAGCGAACGTGAGCGAATTGCGGGTTACAATTCAATAGCTCCACCTCTTCAACCAGGGGATCGAATTTGGACTGACGAACACTCCGCCGGAGAAGTACTGGTCCTGGTACAGTGAGCCAAGTAGGAAGAGTTGTCCCAGATGTCGATCTTCGGTTATAGGTAAACAGTCGTTCGTGTGGCGTGGCGTTCGTTGCAGTACAGAGCAAAGATCTGATGGAATGCAAGGCGTCGAGTAGAACAGACTCCCATTGTGCCGTTGGTAGGCCCCGTGATCTTAATGCTAGAGTGATGGCACGCCAAAGTGTTCCATTGAGGCGCTCGACCTGCCCATTGGCTTGAGGATTGTATGAGGTAGTACGACTGGTTGCTACGCCTTTCTCCAGAAGAAATGCCCGTAATTCGGTAGACATGAAAGCAGCGCCTCTGTCGGTATGTATGTAAGAAGGCATACCGAAAATCGAAAACAGTTGGCAAAGGCAATTCATTACCGTTTGAGACGACATGTCGGGGCAGGCGAATGCAAAGGGGAATCGAGAATATTCATCGATCAGCGTGAGCAGATAGTGATTGCGGCTAGCTGACGGTAGAGGTCCTTTAAAGTCGATGCTTAACCTTTCAAAAGGTTGGGTTGCTTTTATGAGTTTGAAATTAGAGGGATTGTAAAATTGAGGCTTTAACTCACAGCATGTCACGCATTTACTGGTTACATTGCGCACCTCGTCAAGGGAGAATGGAAGGTTTCTCGAGCGTACAAAATGCATCATTCGGACAACTCCAGGATGGCACATAGAGTCATGGAGAAATTTCAAGTCGCACACTGACTGCAAGGAACCGCAGAAACTACGGGAAAATGTATCAGCAGCTTGATTATCCCTTCCAGGACGATAAATGATGTCATATTGATAAGGGGATAGCTCAATTCTCCAACGCATTATTTTATCGTTCTTGATTTTGCCTTTATGAATCTTGTCAAACATGAATGCTACTGAACGTTGATCAGTGACAAGTTTGAAGTGATTTCCGAGAAGGTAATGCTTCCACTTACGAATTGCTTCAACCACGGCATAGGCTTCTTTCTCAACCGATGAATGATGTTTCTCACTTCGAGAGAGGCTTCGAGAAAAGAAGGCGACAGGTTTACCATTCTGGTTTAATGTAGCTGCAATTGAGACATCTGAAGCATCTGTTTCAACAACAAGGGGTGCTTTCGGATCAACTACCACAACGACTGCACGTTCTAAGTCGTCTTTCAGTTTGTCAAAAGCATTTCGAGTTTCGATATCAAGAGGGAAAATCCGATTATTTACCAATGGGTGGATTTTATCTGAGAAGCGAGGGATCCACTGTGAATAATAAGCAAATAATCCAACGGCCCGTTGTTGAGATTTGATATCTGTGGGTGGTTCTAGATCACGAAGAGGTTTTAGCCGATCGGGATCTGGTTTAATAACCCCCTTTGAAACTTCATAACCGAGTAATTGTATGCTTCTGCTTGAGATCACACTTTTGGAATCATTAAGGGTTATTCCATAATTGCGTGCTGCTACCATAAACTTGTTTAGATTTTTGTCGTGTTCCTCCTGAGTTTTGCCGCAGATAGTGACATTGTCAATGTAGGCAAACGTGCTTGTGAGTTGTTCTTTACTGATCAATTCATCGATAATGCGTTGAAAACAAGCTACGCCATTGGTAACACCAAAAGGAATTCGGCAAAATTGGTAAAGTTTCCCACAAGCCTCGAAAGCAGTATATGGTTTATCTTCGTTCCTTAGGGCAATTTGATGATAAGCATTCTTCAGATCAAGAGTGCTGAATATGTCATATTGTGCGATTTTTTCTATCATTTCGTCAATCCTAGGTAATGGGTAAGCATCCAGAAAAGTGAATCGATTGATTGTCTGACTATAATCAACTACCATCCTCTTTTTATGGCGTTCGTTTGACGTAACAAGAACTTGAGCTCGCCAAGGAGAATTAGAAGGTTCAATAACACCTTCTTGCAGTAACCGGTTGACTTCGGTGGAAATAAAACTTTCATCTTCACGAGAATAACGCCGGGATTTTATCGCGATCGGTTTACAGTCTTTTGAAAGATTTTCAAACAGGGTAGGCAGGTCGACGCGAACACAAGGTAGACCACAGAGAGAAAAAGGCGGCTTTGATCCCCCAAAAGGAATCTCAATGTGTTTGTGAAGTTTTAAAAAATCATGTCCAAGAAGGACGTCTGCACATAAATTATGAAGAATGGAAAATTTGAATAGATCATAAGTGTGGTTTTTATAGCAGATGGATAGAAAACAATGTCCTTCAGTATGACTAGTAAGATTCGTACTCGCCATTGTGATTCTGTTTCGAGACTTATGGACTTTCCAGTTATACTTACGAACAACTGAGGAAGAGATGTAGCTCTCACTGCTTCCGGTATCCACTAGAGCTTGCATTGATTTCCCATTGACAGTAAGC